TAACTTCAGAGCTGATCTATCCAACTATCTAATGCTCCTCTGGACTCTGTGAAAAAGTGGCAGTCGTCTGGCAAGAGGGGAGAGCTCGTGGAGCAGAGTGAGCAGTCGGCAGCCCTCTAGTGGGGGTGAGGAAAATGAAGGGGACGAGCAGCTCAGCAAGCAGATGTAAAAGTCAACTGGAAACCACAGCAGGGAGAATCTGACGGGGGGGAAAAAGTAAAAACAACAACTAAAAAACCCAACAGAATTTGACAACAAGGTGGCAGAGAGCCGTCTTTCCTGAAAGAGAGTTGCTGTACTTACGGGGGCAGTAGCTGTTCTGGTGGGTGGAGAGGATAAAGAGTCAGTCAGACAAATGAGTGAGGCAGGGAAAGATGGTGCCTGAAAAAGCTGGGGACGTCAGACCACAAAAACCATCTAGCTCGGGACCAAGCTCCAGCAGTATGAGTATGTTTTCTAAGAGTGATTCATCTTTAGTCTCCCAGCCTTTGCCAAATTATCATTTAGGGGCTTTTTGACTCAGAGGTGAAGAGAGCTCTCCAGTTTTCTGCCATAAATCTGCCCCTTCTTTATAAACACAAATTGCTAAACAGGTCAAGTGATATTCTCTGTAACTGTAGAAGCTGACAAAGAGGGAGAAACTCCAAACAGAGAAAGAGTGGCCTAGTGTTAAACTATACAAAAATGCCTGTGGAATTGGATGGATCAGAAGTGAAAAAAACTAAAAGAGGAGAAAGATTGTGATATAGTTCTATTCAGGAATACAAGACAAGACAAAGAAAAAAAAAAAGGGGAAGAACAGAGGAGTGTAGCTTTGCTGAACAGCAGAAGGGGAGATGGGCACTCTTGTCTGTAGCAGGCAGAAGTGCAGGACACCAGCTCCAGGCCAAGAGTGTTGGACAACAGCTCTTGGCCCTGTGTCCTGTAAGGAAATTCATGCAAGGCTAAGGCCAGGGTTGAAGTCATACATGGTTGTGGACTGCAGTTGGGCCAAGAAAAAAAAAACAAAAAAAACCAAAAAAACCAAAAACAACCAAAAAACCAAAGGACTTGAGGTTGAAAATAGTGGTACAGTCAAACATGAAAATTGTACTAGCCAAAGAACAGGCTGAAGTGTCAATCTTCACCAGCAGTGTGGATAGAGGAAGCTGAGCTGGAGGGAAGTGCAAAAGAACCCTGGCAAAGATGTGGCCAGGAGAGCACAGGGCTGAGGTGAAAGCTGGGTCAAAAAGAGATTGCTGTTACTGGCTTGCAAAACCAAAGGGACAGATGTCTGAAAACATTGCAAAGTTGAGTTAAGGGATGCACTAGTGAAAGGGAAAGGGAAAGGGAAGAGGGTGGGGAGCCTTCAGGGCAAAAGGGTGTCCAGAGGGACCTTGACTGTCTGCTTGTTGCTTCTCAACTGGCACATCCCTCCTGAGTCTTTCCAGGAGGCTGAATTCACCAACACCTTTGCATCCCTGTTTGGTTGGATCTGGCTGCCATTGTTACTCTGAAGCAGCACAGAATTAAACAAGAAGATTTTTCTGTACTAATTAGTCTATACTAATTACAGTGGTGTGTTGGTAATTATTGATGATTCATAAACTGCATGGACTGTAAGTCTGCAGCCATACTGGGGTAAAGACTTTTGTACTGGTGATTTAGAAAGGTGAAAATTCAATGAAGTAGTAATGCATTTTGCTTAATGGCACTGCTATGATAGTAAGGTAATTGGTGATCACTGGTTTGCAAAAAAGCATAAGAGCTAAGAAAGTGCTATTGACTTTGTCTAATTATTTGTTTTGTAGCTGATTTCTGGGGAGATTGCTTAGGAGATTACAATGATACTGAAAACAATATTGGGCAGTTAAACATGTTAAAACAAACTTTTTTTCCCACTGGTTTTATGCTATTATTATTTCTAGGTGGTTATTTCTTTGCTTTCAATACAGTGTCTCTTCCTCTGCTCACTGAAATTAGGGGTTTTCTCACTGGCCTCTTTGGAATCAGGCTTGTCTCTGCATGTTTTACCAGAAAAGTCTGTTATGAGATACTACACTAATTGATTTAGGTTGCAGATCTATTAGCAGTCCTTCCTGGCAGTCAGTCAAATAATGAGAGCTTTATTTAAATTGGAAATCATCAGCAATGTGATATTCACTTAAGTGAGGAAATGAACAGAGGTATGGTCATGGTATCACTAATACGCAATGTCCACATGGTCTTCTGGGAGTTCAGAAGATATGGAATTAGTTCCTTCAGGCGAGTGAGAGATCTGTAGGACATTTGTGAAGGCCAGGCACACATGTCATTATTTTTGCTGCCTCCTTTAGCTGAGATCGACAGAGAAAAGTGAGTCAGTCACTTATATCCACAGCAGTTTGGGCATATAAAGCCACGAGTCTGATTCAGGTTGTGAAACAAGACTCAGAACTTAAAGACCAGAAAGGAGGATGTCAGACATAGTTTTTGCTATATCTAATGAGGTTTATTTATCCTTCCCATATTCAGTTCATTACCAACCTTAATTTGTCCCATTTGTTTCCCTGCATTGTATAAGTAATGAAGTTGAGCATTTTAGGAACTCAAAGAGTATACATAGCAATCTTTCAGGTAGAACAGCACCTCTTCTGCATCCCTCTGTGGCTCTGACCCCGTCAAGTCTGCAATGAGCAGGATAGGGACACGTTCACCTACATCAGGAGTCTCAGATTTTCTAATTTTCACCTAGTTTTCTGCTGTTAGGAAAGGCAAGAGCACCCTGAATCTGGAAGGAAGGGAGGAAGAGAAAGACCCTGATTTTTTTGTCCTTCTATTCAAGTGTTTTCTATTCATTCATGAGGCTGACACAGAAACAGCCGGGAGAAAAACTCTGAGTCAGAGTCTGAGTGAGTGGATTATTTTGTTGCTGTTGTTTTAAAATAAACAGGATAAGAAAAGTGGCTAATCTATAAAGTAATCTCTGTAAAGGACTTGATAGACTTCCCTGCATTGATATGTGTCTTGGACACAGTTATTCCATTTTTGACAATACAGAGTGACTAACACTGGATATCTTCTGAAGCAGTGGAAAGTGGAAGGCCTTCATTTACAATGTGAGTTCCTGATATTTCCCTGGCATTAATAAATGGAGAATAAAATAAATATCTGTGTCCAAACATACATGGATGCGTCTGTTTTCCTCTTTTGTTGAAGAATTTCATGCTTTTGATCCATGTCTTCTGAGACAGTTTGAGCTATGTGTTGTCAAAAAACACACTTTTACTGTGGGACTGACTGAAGTCTGTCATGTAGTCTTACAGATTTGTCTAATGAGATTCAAAACTTTTTTTTAAAATCAAAGTGTATGATGATAAAAGATTTGTTAAAGAGTTTCCTATTGAGTACCATTGGAGTGTGGATGTGCTGTTTTTCTCTTTTGGTTGTGGGAGAATAGGAGCTGTGAGCTTTCAGGGGACTGTTTCTTTAACTTATTCTTGACTCGTGGTTGATGATGGGTGTTGACTTCCATTTCTGTTCAGATATGCTTACTGGCACTAAGCTACATTCTGCTACAGCAGGAGCTCAAGTGGGAAGAGAAGCTTTTCTGTGAGAAAAGGAGAGGTTAACTACACTTATATTGGGGGCAGTTTTTGCTTTGGAAAACAGTGGCAGGCTTTGTAGTTTAATCTTTTGGAGTGCTGCCCATTACCACCTTCTGACGTACGTTGTTGGACTGAGAAGAATCGATGCGCAGTGGTGCATGAAAGTCCAGCGTGTCAGTTGTAGCTATACATAATGCCACTGTCTCATGTGCAGGCAAGGCTGTTAATGCTTAACACACTATTGTATTCTCTAAAGAAAAGAGTAGAATACCAGGAACTTCATCTGTTTTAAATGTTTATATACATTCCTTTGAAAAATACATTTTTTAAGGATTAAGTATTGCCTGCATAAAAGGCTCTGACTAATGAGCACCACAGAGAAAAATGCCACAGAAATAGGCATTTGCCAGCATTCCTATGTGCCAGGGAATGGCCTTGGGAATCTGCCTAAAAATTAGGGTTTTGGTCAGATTACATGTCTTGGAGGGTGATTGCTTTAACTCATCTACACCTGGGGCACCTGAGGTAACTGGTGACCATGAAAGCAAGGAATCTGCCCTTTCAGAGATTGGCAACTTGCAGCTAATTCTCCATATGCATAAACATTTTAAGGGTTTAAAGACTCTTCTCGTTAAGTATGTGCACCTGCGTGAGGGCATGTATTGTTCTGTTGCTTAACAACCTTCTGTAGCTAATGGTCTGAAGTGAAACAAATCAGTAGTGTACAGGAGAAGTGTACTGAAATGTATCAAGACACAAAAAGTATTAACGTAGTCCAGCTCCTAAGAAGTATAACAAACAAAGCAGCCACAGCCCACACGTACTGGCTTTCTTGCAGCAGGTTTAAATTATGATGTGCTATCATGTCTTCTGAAAATGTCATGGCTCACATGGCAGTGATATTTTTGCCTGAAAACTGAAGGCTATGGTTCTGGAAAGCAACTTTCAATCTGCAACCCAAACAAGTTCACTTTTCTCAAGAGTCACTTCTTTCCCTATCAATCCCATTAAAACATTATTATTTAGAATATGTCACAAGACCTTTAAAAAAAGATCTGTATTACATTCTAATGAATAACTTTTGGCCAAAGATAAATAGCTTTCTGTAGTCTCCAGTAAAACAAGTCTTTCTATGTAACCTAGGTATTAATGTTGGGGAAAGAGGGAAAAGGAAGTGTGTTTTTCTTGCTCCCTTATTTAAAACCCTACCATTTTTAACTTACAGACAAGTAAAACAAAAATAGGAATTTGGTAAAGATGTTCATGTAAGATGTACTTCAAAGTAATAAAATTAAGGCTGTTATTCATATGCCAGTGTGCTTTTTAGTGTCTTTCATGGTTCTGTTTGATCTTTAATTCTTGTATGTAAAATGCTACCTTCTTAAGAACCAGACTGAAAAGAAAAAAAAAAAAATCTGTATTTCTCTTCTTTAGCAGGCTTCAACTGCAGAAGTACAAGTTGGGCCCATGAGACTGACACAATACCCAATTCAGGTAAGATGCTCCTTCAGTTTCTGAGAGAGCCAATTCAGTATTGATAGATGAAGAAATTAAGGTTCAAACTCTTTAGTTAACTATAATACTTTAATTTCACTTGTGCAAGGACTGTGAGAGGGATAATGTATGTTTTGTGTATCTGATTGTTTAAGAAGATCTACAGGTAAATTAACTCAGTAAATAAGACCTCTAGATTTCCATTAACATCCCCTCATTCCTTGCATCTGTCCTACCAGTAGGAGTGCGAGTGCACGTGCATCAACCAGGGAAAGAGCTGCCTCTATGGATATTAAAAACTGTTCGGTTTTGATATACCATAGCTGAGAGCTTCATGAAATTTAGGTATGTGTTCAGTTTTGCTGGGTTTTGCACAACAGGACAGAGAACTGTAACAGGACAGAGAACTCTGTTTTACAGACCACCAACCCAAGAAATCACCTCCAACAAGACAGGTTCAAATTCAGCTAAGGAGCAACAACTCTTATCCATACATGCTTCTTTTTCTGTACATTTTGTTCCTGTGACAGCATCAGATGCCAAGTGTTATTTTTTTTTCAGCTTATAGTGGATGTTGGAACATCACTATATAGGAACATATATATGTTCCTGTATATATGTTCCATATATATAGGAACATATATATGTTCCTATAATCCTAATCTTGGATTATAGGAAATTAACATTGTTTTAGTGATACATAATTCAGCTGAATTAATTTATGGGTCAGTTAATTCTGTAAAATACAAACACATTTAGTCATCAGTCACCCTTTCTGTGAAAAACCTATGTGTGGAAGAAAAGCATCATCAAGCTTTACATTTTTATGGCTTTACATTCAGTCTTAATGATTACTCGATCTGATGAAATTGCTTGTTTATATTGTAATAAGATTATGGAGTAATGACTTCAACAGCAGAACAACCTTTAGTTTTGCAGAGAATTTCAACATAGAAGTGTGGAACTTTCCACAGAAAAAAGTTTTTAGATCATATTCATCTTCAGAAAGATTATTCAGAGGATATTTAACAACTACAAATACTCTCAGCGCTTTTGTCAGGATATTACTTCATAGAAATTTGATTTGCCCAAGGCAAATTTGGATTTTTGTTGTTTGTAAAAGCTGACATTCTTCTTGGTATCTTTTCAGATGGGGGTGTTATTTTGTCTTTACATTTCACAACTGAGAATCTGTGTAAGAAAAGAATCTGCCTTAAGCAGAAATTATTAAGTGAAATCATTAACTGAAGAATTTTCCTTAAAGATGTTGCCATACATTAACTTATTTGCAGTTAAGTAAAACACTTCATGTAAACCCACCTTGTTTGTTTGTGGAACAAGCCACATTACCTCAGATAATTTGGCAAGTAATGCACACATCCCCACATTTAAAAAATGTGTGCTAATCTTTTATTCCATCTTGACAATACAATTATGTGTTTCTCTGTGCATTGCAAACAGCTACTGAATATCACATTTTACATGTCTTATTTGTGGATGATTAATCTTGTTTACAATTGTCTGAGAAGTTAAGTTCTACTTGTTAAAACAATTGCCACTGGGGCTTTTCTTAGCAAACTTCATTTTATTCTGCTGTGTTTTATGCTGTTATGGGACACCTGTGCCAACCTCAAAATGGCACACATTTTTTGTCTGAGAAGTGACCTCACTTGTGCCTGTGACCTGCCATAAAATAATTTAATAGAATCCCCACTGGACTTCATGACCATATATGTCAGAGTAAAAATCGGGTTTCATTTGTACAGAATTGTGACCCAGGTGCTCCTGGCCTTAAGAGGCAAGGGAAGAGTCCAAAGCGAACCAGCCAGCTCCAGCCCTCCAGACATCCCACATACAGATTGCACAATTGCCTCAACTTTGCACCAAGGCTTGTAAATAGGAATGGTTTGATTTCAGAAATGACCATGCTGAAAGTACACAAAAATGTGCTTTCTCCAAGGGACACGGGAGATGTGGTTTTTATAAACAATTAGTGTACATAAAAAAGGTGTTGGATCCTCTTGCAGAAATGTTTGCTCATAAACGTTTCAATGTGTTCCTATTCAAATGCTGCATTTTCTCACCTTTTAGGACATTTATTTGCCATCATCTCTTTCACAGCGACGCTGTGATCTTCCCTGATGAGCTGCAAATGAAGCACGATGATGCACAGCATTTCCTGTTCCCTCATTCCAATATAACAGGGGTATCTCTGTAACTTTATTCAGAGATAGTATGTCTTTTCCACCTTGAAAGTCTCCTGCTGGGATACGATGATTTGAAAATAATTAAGTAGCTTCTTAAGTGCTGTAATTTTCTTTTTCCTTCTGGTAGCTTGTTTATCCTCAACTGATGTTTCTTGTATTTCAACCTCTTTAAAGCAAATTTTTGACCATTTTCTGTATTTGTATAATAAAATGGGAACAAGATGTGCAATAGTTGTGTGAAGCAAATACTTAGAAAGAGAGTAAAAATTTCACCATTGGTACCTCACCAAAATTGGAAAGGCCTCCACAGAGAAAGTCCATGGTATTCCTAAACTAGGGCAACACTGAGTAAAATTATATTTTTACAGTAACATTGGCAAATCATGCAGCAAAAAAAATAACTACATGAAGTTTTTTGGCGTGGAACACAGATTGAATTTAAGCATTTCCTTGATCATGTTGTTTATATGGATTATTATATTTTTGCCTATACTTTGACAATATATTGTTCAAATATACTTCGAGTTACATTATGTTTGGATGATTCATAGTAGTAGTAATACTTTAAAACAACTTTTAAAATTAATATTCTCAGAAGGATTTGTGCATTGATAATCAGCTACCAGGGAGAGATTGGATGGTTTAATTAAGCTCCATTATTTTAAAGCTGATAAATTTTGCATTTTGCCATCCTTTATTTCCAAACTGGGAGTGCTGAGAGGAGAAAGATATCAAAAAACGTGCCACCCCCATGCTCCTCAAATTTTCTTTCCCCATAACACTTCAAACTAGGAACAAAATAAAACTAATGGCAGTTGGAACCAAACAGAATATTGTATCAGAGTAGGGACTTCACTCAGGAATTAGAAAATCTGCAGCTTGGCCACATCATTGCTTTCCAGCTATTTGATGGCTGGAAAAAAAACCCTAGGGATTAAAAGGGTGACAACAGTTACCTTGGGTGTTAAGTGTCAGTAAGCCAAATCTGTTTATTGATAACTGTAATCAAAAACCTTCCAATACATTGAAACTTTTGCCTTCTTAATATTTGCAGAAATTGTGAGCATATAATTTTCTTCCATTGTTTAATGGAACTCTGACTGTCATAGTAACAATGATTGATTTTTTTATTGTTTAGAATTCAACGACCCAGGCAGCTAAAGATAAGAAGAAAGCTATTGTCACCTTTTCTAGCTTCTAGACTGATGGTGCTGAAATTCATGTGCTGACACCACAGCTGCATAAAGCAAGGGGGATAAAGGTTATTGGCCTTTCCTACAGGCATTTGGAGCAAAATTTTGCATATTTTTCTTGAACACGTTGTTTCAGTAAAGTCAGGGGATGACTTTTATTTGTGAAATGACCAGGATTTTGCTTTATGCATGACTAATCTCTGGCTGCTGACTTTTTGTGCAATTTTAATAGCTGTGAATAGACTTTTGACTTTTTGAGGCCTTCTTTTTCACAGCATATTTGCACTAAATGAGCTCTTTTCTCTGTCTGACACATAGAGTATCATGGTTAGTTACCAGTTGCTATGGTAAATATGTGCAACTCTAATGGGGAATGTCTCCATGACTTGGATTAATAAATTGGACGCTGATAAATTGTGTGTTATGGAACAAGGATGAAAAATTTATTCTCTCTGAAAACCACTTTCTTTTACATGAGAAGCACAGAAATACAGCTGTTTTCAGCTGTGTGTCAGCTTGCAAACAGGCTTCCTACAGCATCTCCTTGATCTTCAGAGTGGCATCTCTGTACACTTCCTACCTGATCTTGTGTGAGCAGTTCCTTAAGTGTTCAGTTGAAATTGTCTAAACTACTTTATACACTTAGGGACAGCTTGGTACAATTTATTGGGTAAAAATTTCTCACATTTGAATAATTTTCCTCCTGTACATACCTGCTTGCCTGTTCTTTTCAGCTTTGAAATAATACTGGTTAACCCATTTTTTTGTGATTAAAGGACAAAAGAACAGATAAAATGTGTTAATTTTTTGCCCATGTCTTCAGGGATGATAAGTGGTAATTAAGCCAGCTGCATTTCAGACAGTTCCTTACAATCAAAAGTGTGTGTAGCTGGGATGGCCTGACAAGAGTGGAAATGATGTTTGGACACTGTCTGGTTGCTGATTGAATTGGAACAGCAGCTAGAAAAAAATCATCATGTGGCAAGCTCTTTTTGTTCATAAACTTTTAAACAGTCCTTGTTTAAAACTATTAACTATTTATATTGTTAACTATTGTTAACTCTTGATTATCTATTAATAATTGTGGTATCTATTAAGAAAGATTACTGCTGCATTGGTTGTTTTACAGCCTGTGGTTCAAGCTTCCCGCTATGAAAACAGACTTTAAATCTTCCAAAGGACAGAAATATTTGTTAAGACTTGCTCCATGCAGAAGACTATTTTATGTATTTAATGTGGTGCTGCTGTTTTCCATCCCCTGCAGGTTTTGCTAATCTTTGCAAAAGAAGACAACCAAAGCAATGGTTTCTGGTGGGCTTGTGACAGAGCAGGATACAGGTGCAATGTTGCCTGGACTCTGGAATCAGCACTTGAATGTTTCCTGGATAAGCACCAGGAAATAATTGTTATAGATCACAGGAACTCCAAGTATTTTGATGCAGAAGATATCTGCAGGTAATCTAAAGAACCTTATGCTTATCTTAAGCTTTGGAATACATTGTATGAAACCAAACCTCCTAATTTTAAACTGAAAAACAGGGGTGGGGGGGGGGGGGGGGGGGGGGGGGGTAGGTGGGGGTAAGATAAAAACAACAGACAAAAAATGAACACCTAAAACTGTAGTAGAATGGAAGTTTGGAGACTGAGGCCAGGAAATTTGTGTGCATCTCTAAGAGGATAACAACATGAAAACTACATTATGCCAAAGCTGAGTAGTAGAATTATCTCTAGGTCATGGGGTTTCTGTCAGAGCATAAGCCAAAGCTATTGTGAAACTATTCCCTGCTGTGGGTGCTGCTTCTTTCCTGGTTTACTGCTGCAGCAAAATCTGAAGCTGCAGACTTCAGAGGAATGTGCTTGTTTGTCCACAAGGTCAGGCACTGCCAGTTCTTCACAAAAGTTTGCATCACTCTTCTAGTCCACATGGTTGTGCCTAACCTGCTTTAAGACTACAAGTGCTTAGTATTGGGATCCTTTGCTAAAATACACTGTTTCAGCTGAAGCCTACCATTTGCACCATATTGTGCTTCTAGTCTGCCATGAGCTGAAATTTGCCATGTTTATGACAAGGGGCATTTTAATGCTCAAATATTTGTACTGGTCTAAGTTCTTCTAAAAGACCAGCAGATAAACATGAAGATTTTTTATTCAGAACAGTGTAATATGAGTGAAAAAATCTTTAGCCAGCAAAACACAAACTGAGTGTTCTTCTGATAGCTGGTCATATCTTTTTTGGTTTCTCAATAATATGCAACATGGTAAAATTTTGTTTATTCAGTATTTAATGAATTGTAGTCTTTTGTAATTTGCTATGCCCACTTTTCTTACTTTCATGCCTTGAAAGCACTTCCCACCCTCTAAACAAAATTTTGCAATGTCTAGAAGGACAGTGATAAATCTGAGAGGGGGTAAAGATCCTTGTTTAAATTAGTCAAGGGCATTGAAGATGCTTTGCATGTACTGACCTTTCTCAGCTCACGCATTCGGGGCAGTCTGCCCCAGATAAGCTGAGTACACGGGAAAAACCTTTGCTAGGTCATAAGAGTGGGTCAGAACAGTGATGTTTGTACACTGAAGTTTTGGAGCTTTTGCCTTCTTACCTGGATAGAGCAAAATGAGAAATCTGGTGCCAAAATGAAAACAGTTTGTCTAAATGGGGATAGTTAGGTTTGGCAGTGCACTATTGTGTTGTCTAGCCTCAGTGGTGTCTTTCAGTCCTGACTTTCATTTATATTTTCAGTGAAGGTACTCAGAGCAATATTGAAAAAGCATTCAGTGTAACTGAGAAATTTTTGTTTCCTCAGGTCTATTCGTGCCACAGAGCTATCAGAGCATACTGTAATACTTGCTGTGGTTCCACGCACGTAAGTATTACTGGTTTGTGAAAGATTTTCATTTTACTTTATAGGAACAGTTACCTAATCTATAACAGTTATTTAATAACAGAAAGTATCTTACTAGCAAATCTTACAGAGTAAATGTAGTATTTTTTACCTGAAATGGGCTAGTGATGTTTGATGTTTTATTTGAGTGTTCGACATCTTTCCTTTAATGCCAACTAGTATTATCCCTGTCTCCTTCATTATGGGTTATATAGTAAGAAAGCCAGACAGATATGTGTTTTTTCTAAGAGGAAAGGAAAATACAAATCCAAACTAGAAAGGTGTGTATTACTTTCTAAAGAAAATAACTAGATAAATAACAAATAAAGACCAAATTGTTTATGGAACTGTGTGATGGGGCAGACTTCAATCCAGTTGATGATAAATTCACAAGAATGTTGTCCTTAAACCCTTATTTAGTAATTCATAACCCATACTTTTAGGAAGCATTCATACTGACTTAAATATATATTGATCAAATATCTTCAAATACCCTTGTTAGAACTCCTACACACTACTGAATCCATTACCATTTTTATTCATTTCCTAAATCAATTAGAATATTAGGAAATAGAGTGACAGGAGAACTATTACTACCAAGATTTGAAAATCAATTAAATCTTCTGCTGAACAAGATTTTACAACTTAGCTTCACTTTTATCTAAATAATATTTTTTTAGATTATTCATCATAGAATATCACAGAATATCTTTTTTATCTTCTTCATACTTTTTTTGCAATCCCCTTCTGTGTATGTAAAGAGATTCTCCACTTCTCTGGAGAATCTGACAGGTTTGCTGTAGGAGAAACTATCAAGCTGTATAGAAGCTGCAAATACCTACAACAGAAGATGTAGCACCAGCTTCTGTAACAGTATGATTTTTTTGTATGTATTTAAAGAAAACTGTTCTCACTGAGTTCATTATATTTTGAGAACTATGTTAGATTCATGCCATCTAATTCTCAAGTGTTGTGTCACCTTATAGTAAATAAGATACTAGCCCTGCTTAATATCTGTATCAGTGACCTGGACAAGGGATCGAGTGCAGTCAGTCTACAGGTAACACCAAGCTGGGTGGGAGTGCTGATCTGCTGGAGGGCAGGAAGGCTCTGCAGAGGGATCTGGACAGGCTGGATCATGGCTGAGGCCAATGGTGTGAGGTTCAGCAAGGCCCAGTGCTGGGTCCTGCCCTTGGGTCACAACAACCCCAGGCAGTGCCACAGGCTGGGGCAGAGTGGCTGGAAAGGACCTGGGGGTGCTGCTGACAGCGGCTGAACATGAGCCAGCAGTGCCCAGGTGGCCAAGAAGGCCAATGGCATCCTGGCCTGGACCAGCAATGGTGTGGCCAGCAGGGCCAGGGCAGGGATTGTCCCCTGTACTGGGCACTGGTGAGGCCACACCTGGAATCCTGTGTCCAGCTCTGGGATCCTCACTACAAGAAGTACATTGGGGTGTTGGAGTGAGTCCAGAGAACGGCAGTGGAGGTGGTGAAGGGTCTGGAGCACAAGTCCTGTGACTGAGGGAGCTGGGGATGTTTAGCCTGGAGAAAAGGAGCCTCAGGGAGACTTTGTTTCTCTCTACAAGCATCTGAAAGGAGGGTATACCCTCCATACAAAGTGGGGTCCATTTTTTCTCCCAAGCATCAAGGGATCTGACAATAGGAAATGGCCTCAGGTTGTACTAAGAGAGGTTTAGATTGGGCATTAGAAAAATTTTCTTCCCTGAAAGCAACCATTGGATCAGGCTGCCCAGGACAGTGGAATCACCATCCCTGCAGGTATTTAAAAGATGTGTGGGTATGACACTTGGGAAGTGGTTCAGTGCTTAGCACTGCTGGGTTAAAAGTTGGACTCAGTGATCTAACAGTCTTTTCCAACCTGAATAATTCTGTGCTTGTGTGATTTTGTTTTGTAGATCTGCTGACCAAGAAGAGACTTCTATTCTTCCCCTTCTTGATGCAGGCTTTGATAGGGTATGTATAAATTGACTATGTAATATAGAAAACATAGTAGGTTCATAAATTACAGACACTTCTTCCTCAAATTAAAAATTACACATCCTCTTCTGTCAGAAATTTATTGATAAGAAACCAGTGGCAGTTGATTTAGTTTTCTTTTCAGGAGTATTCCAGAAGCATATGAAACAAAAAGCTCTGTGATCTAGGTAGTGCTTTCAGAATAGCAGCTGTACTGAGATTACCTTCTTGTGGTCTGGCTGGGTAGTGGGTGGGTTTTATGACTGTACTAAGAAACAGGGGTGGGAGACTCTGATTAACATTTTGCAGCATGCTGACTTGTCACCCAGACCCCTCCATGTGTCTCAGGCTGCTGGGATTTCTCTTCTAAAGGGACGACAAATCTGGTCCTGCTCATGAAGATTTTTTTTTTCCCCATAATGTCAGTTGTGTTGGTTTGCAACAATTCTTCTCAGTACAGCATTAGAGACACTCCTGTCATCAGAAGGGAAGATAACTGTTCATAGTGCTCCTCAAAGGGCTCTGTAGGAGAGAGCAGAAAGGCAGGAGTTCTCAGCTCTGAAAATCTAGGTTGCTTATCCTCTCCCAACCTTTGTGTGAGTGGCTTTGGATAGATATTTGTGTTATGTTACTCTAAAATAAACCAGATGCATTTTTTAATTCAGTAATTCATAAGGAAGGATGTGTACTTAAGCAAAAGAAGCACATCTGGAGAATTATTTAGAATTAACTTTATATATTTTCTTAAAAATATACATATTTAGGAAAATTAACTGCAGTAAGGAAAATCAGGGAAGAAATGGAATTAACTCTGGCAAAAATCTCATTCTCCTATGCTCATACTGAGTCCAGTGTCTGAGCCAACTCACACTCAGCCCAAGTTTGTTTATACAACAGAACATGAACCAGAATGACCATTTTCAGATTATCTCCCAAAAATAGAGGTATAAGATCCTGCCTGTACTGCAAGAGCATTGTGGGGCCAAAGCATTTCTGAAAGCACTTAGATGCTCTGAAAATTGAAAATGTGAGTCTAAGAGAAAGGTCAGCCCAAGAATGCCAGGGCTTTATTAGTGTAGTTTCTCTGTCTGTCTGTCTGTCTGTCTCTCTCTCTCTCTCTCTCTCTGGCTTAAATGTTTTTCAAAGAGAAGTTTATTGCTTCTCAGGTCTACTGTTTCATTTGAACACAATGCAGGGCAATGTGTTTTGTAAGCTAGATTAAAACCGTAGGTGTAGTACTGAGTAAAGTCAGAGGAGACTCCGTGGCTGTGAGACACGGCTCAGTGGTTCTCTCTGCCTTGGAAAGGAAAATCTTTTTGCACCTGACAGCTGCACTAACTACTCTCTCTTGCTGTCCCACATTTATCAGAGAGCTTGAATAATGTAATAATTCCCTATTGAAATTATTTTCAAGACTTTAAAATATATCTGATGTCAGAGTTTCTTTTTTGCTGTGCGGTGGACATAGGAATTATTTTTTGCTTGGATGGGGATCAGTAGGGTCTAAATCCATTACCACACAAAGATTTAAAAATACCCCTCTTCAGATAGGTGATTTTTGCAGGGAGTCTCTTCCTCAGCAGCAAAAAGGAAATTTATTTTTGGAAAATTGCAACCTGTTTAAATCATAATTTTTTCTTTATGCTGACTTATTTCTGGTTTTTCTTCCTTCTTCTTAAGAAAGTCTATTTTATTACATCTGATTTTCCTTCTATATCATTAACAGCTCTTGTGTTTGTGCATTAATGCTGTTACTAATCCAGTACATTAATTATGCTGATTTTTTTTTTCCTTTGAGCCTCATAAATCTAATAGTGGTGGCGTACTTAGGGTGGGCTAATTTGAATAAGCAATTTAGCTTCCTGACTGATTTTTAGCTATGATTTAAATCAGCAAACAGGACATCTTAATCAGTTTGCAGTTACTGAATTACAACCTTGTCTTGTATTTTGAACTTCTTTTCCTAAACAAATGTTGATTCTCATTGACCAGATACTATTAAAACTTACTAGATTGGAGTAAAAGAAGTCTTTAATATTAAAATGAATGCTTATTGCTAAGCAAAAAGAAGGATGCATTGCTGCTAGCTTGTAACTCTTGTGGCTTGTACTAAGTTCTGCACTGAACAGTAGTGATATCCCATTGTAATGAAGTAAGAAATAATTTAAGAGTATGTGTTACTTAAATCAAAATATACTGCATGAATATGAGACTTTTTAAAAAGAAAGTGTTTTGTCTGCCCTCTAATATCTGTGAGTTCAGAAATCTTATTCTTGTGTCACATGGGAAGCACAGACTAGAAAAATAAATGTTTCCTGCTATTTTCATGTCCCAGTTGATTTCTCGGTTTTGAGTCAGCCAGAGAATGACCAGCATCAGCACTATGTACTTAGATAAAGTGATTCTGTACATCTGCAGAAGACTATACAACAGTTTAGAGCATGGTTAGCACTTTGATAAGCTGCAGTTCTTGATTCTTAGCAAAAGATTTGTGCCAAGAGTTTTGTCAGTGAACAGCAGTGCTTCAATTTTTTCAGTAAAACACACTACTATAAAATTCAGTTTATAAAGAGCCTTAGTATATTCTAGTAAGTCTATTTCATAAAACAGGTTGCCATCATAGATAAAATTTTATATTATTGAGAGTTGTTCTTGTTTTAAATTTAGCTCAAATGTATTTGAATATTTAAAAAAGCACCCAAAACCTGAAAATTTCAGTCTACACTGCTGAAGAGAAGTCTGTTAGCAGGCAGTTTGATATATGAAAACACAACATTGTTTGCTTTGCTTCTGCCAACATTTTATTGTACCTTTTGTTTTCCCATGCATTCTGTGGCTTGTGAGGTGAAAGTTACAGAAATATTTTAAGATGTCAACATTAAGGAGTGCAACAGACCCATGCCAACAGTTGTTTTTAATGTTACTTTTTTTATATTTTGCTCACAACTTGGAATTAAGCCACTGGTCTCCAAAACACAGTTTTTCATACAGGACAGAAGCACAGATTTCTTGAAAGCTATTCTTTGGAGGTTTGCATGCTCCTCTGGACTGTGCATGCAGCTGTGCTGTGAGAACTAGTGTCAACACAGGGCATTTCCTATGATAACTAAAGTCAGTGCATGTGATTGATCAATAAACTTTAACTGAAGTCAGAGAATCTACTTCTTTCGTAGCAACAAAAAATTTCTGATTTCAGCAGGACCAAGCACAAGACCTTTTAGACCTAACAGATAGATAACGTTCTCTCCTGTCCGGAGTAAAAGTTTTTTTCACTGTGGTCAGATGCTTCTTACTTCATATACTTCTGTGCACTTCTGAATTCACAGTGACAGCTCAGTGAGATTACTTGTGAAGCAAAGTTACTTCCCTTTTGGAACTTTAGCTGCAATATTTGCTTGAAAACAAATGCCAAATTTTTCTTTTTTTTTTTTCTTTTAGCATGTATGTTGTATGTCTCTAAGGTTTTCAATTTCCATTCTGAATTAAGGCTAGATGTTCAAAAAGAAACATCAAGGCAATACTGGTTTTGTGTGAGACTGTGTTTGGGGGTTTTTTAGAGAGACTGTGTTCTGGTGGGTGCTAAAACCAAACGGGAAAATCCAGTAAAGGATTTAGGATATTTTTATACTTGCTTTTTATTTAGATATTTGTGTTGTCTTAAAAACTAGAAACTCATTCCTGAGGAAAAGATTATTATTCACAACACAAAAGGTACAACAAAAACTTATTTCTACCAGAAAAGAAAGTGTTGTTGAGGTTGGAAGGGACCTCTAGAGGTCATCTTGCCCAACCTTCCTGCACAAGTAAGGCAAGTTTAGGACCATGCCACACAGCTTTTCAACATCTCCAGTGATGAAGATTCTGCAGCCTCTCTGGGGAACCTGTGCCCAGGTCACCCTAACAGTAAAAAAAAGTGTTGCCTGATGTTCAGGCTTCCTGAAATTCCTTTGCTTCTGTTTGTGCCAATTGCCTCTGGTCCTGTCACTGGGCAGCTGGAAAGAAGCTGGCTCTTACAGTCTCCCTTCAGATATTTATATGCCTTGATATGTTCTCCACAGCGTTCTCCTTTCCAGGCTGAAAAGTCCCAGCTCTCTTGGCCTGTCTCACAGCAGAGGTGCTTTACCACCCTTGTGGGCCTTTGCTGGCCTCATGCCAGCTATCTTTAAAAAGTTGAAGTTTTAGATGCAGAAACAGAAATAATAGTTTAAAACTATTGCAGCCTATTTCATGCACTCTTGATTTGTCTTCCAGCAATTCATGGAGAACAGCAGCGTAACTGCTTGTTACAATGAACTGGTTCAAATAGAACACGGGGAAGTGCGATCTCAGTTCAAATTACGGTATGTAGAGGTGTTAGAAACTGCAAACATCAACCTCTTGGTCTAAATAATTGTACCATGTTACTTTCTGCTTCTTCCCAGCTAAGCATATGTGTGCCTTGCATCTGTATGTTAACTAGTACACTACATTTTTTATATTTTCTCCTTCTGTGTTTTTGTAAAGGACAAACTCAATGCCTTAGTAACTGGTACCCTGAGAAATCTTGGTCACTGTAGGTGTGGGGTGCAAATTTATGTGATGGCAAAACTTTATAAAGTCATTCTTGATCTTGTGTGTCTGAGCTTTCATATTCAGAGGCTTGAACTGAATGCAATCTTGATTCAGGTCTGAGTTTTTATTTTCTTGCTTGGCCAAGACTTGGCAGACCAGGAGCATGGTTTTATACGTTAGTGAGAATTTAAATGGTGTTCATTCCCACATGCACTTTTTCTTTAATGTGACTAATTTTGTATTTAATATAGGTGCTTTTGCATGCATGTAGATATTTTTGCAGTGCAACCATATGAAACTATAGGAAAGAAATGCAGAGAAGGGGCTGTTCTTTCTGTGGCATAAATTAATTCCAGTTCTATCTACAGAAAATACTATCATTTTTCTACAGGTTTCAGTGTCTCTGTTTCAGAAGTTGATTTTTGCTAAGACTTCTTTGCAAACTGATGCCAAAATTACTTTCCATTTTGAGTGATTGCATATTCATGCATGCAAACTGCAATGATAGTAGAATTCCAGGGGAAAAGAATTGGATTTTGGTTTGCACAATTTTAATAGTTGTTTTCTAAAACTCAGCAGGAATGTCTTCCTCTTACCTCTGTCTTATTAGGCAGATCCCATTGAAAACTAATCAGAGCTGATACTGGTTATGGTATTCAGGTATAATTTTTTTTTTCATTTGTGTGGTTTAATTAAGTGGGGAAAAGAGTGCTGTACTGCACATCTGTGCTGCTAGTTGATGATCCGCATGGCTTCTACACAGCTTTGTAAAAGTGCAAGGGAAGAGAATGCAGAAAGTTGGTTGATAGAATTAAACTCAGGATATGTGTTCAGACACAAGAGAAATGTGATGAAAAAGTAGCACCAGCCCCAGGGAGCAGCAGATGAGGTCATGTCAGTGGTCAGAAGTGGCTTTCCATTCCCAGCACAGACTCCGCTTTCCACATAGCTGGTTCTGGTTTGAAACTTGGTTGGACATCTGTGTGCTAATTAAAGGGGATATGGGCCATTTAAACTTGCAATTTTGCTGGCTTGCTTGCCAGATCAAATGAAAATACTAAGGCTTGAATTGTGCAGACATATCTGTGTGTTTTCTTACAGAAAGTGTGTGTAATTACGTTTGTTAGCAGCTGATGTACCAGACAGGCATCTATCACTGAGACAAATTAGTTCCTTCACACAGCACAAAATCACACTTGGGAGCCAGCTTGAATTGCTAGAAAATCACATATAAAATTACTCCAAGCTCCTTTTATTTATGAGCAGAAACACTTCTGTCATCTTCTGCACAAATTATGTTTTTCCTACAAATCTTCATCCACGTGGCTGCATGTCTGTGTTTCTGCGTATGTCTCTTTGTGTATCCTATTTTGTTTTGAGTTATTTCCACAATAAGCAGAAGTAGTAATATCCTGTATTTCTTAATTCTCTAGTCAGTGGTACTAATTCAAACCCTACTATGCAGCCTGGAAGCAAGAGGTTTCTTTTAGGTAATAACTGTGTACAGGAATATTTATGTATGGTGCATTTTAGCTCCCTGCAATGAGAGTCATGTAGAAGACAATTAGTTTGTCTTCAGACCAAATCAAAGATGAGGCATTGACTTCTATCAATGCAAGTATGACTGAGTTGTTTCTTCCAGTACTCACTCTTTGGGCTATGGTAGGGTCTTGGAACTACATGATCCTCATGTCTCTTCCAACCCAAATCATCCTATGATTCTGAGATATACATTTTCCCCTAGTATTAGAAGCCTATATTAATATTAATGCCATCCTGTGAAAATCATAATTTAAGCAACTTTAATTCTGTACCAAGAAGGTAAGGCTTTTGTTTTCCTGCATTAGTTCAAGGATAGCCCCGAAAAAAATGTGTGACAAAGATCCTCTGGGTCCTGAAAGATGAGGATGTATGGAAATCAAGTCACTGCATTATTACTTGGAAGAAGTAAAATTGGTATTTTTTTGATTAGAACTTTGAGGTTGCTCAAATTGTTTCCATTAACTGTGTTGGATTTCAGTTTCTTTGATAGTGCCAACCTATTTGCTGTACTGAAAACTTGGTCTATATGTGCTGTCATGATTTTTGTGCTTCCAGTCTTTAATAATCACAAAACTTTCTGATGTAATAGTTATGTGTCATTTTTACTGCTAATTGTTCATTCCTGCTGTTCAGAGCATGTGTGTAGACACAAGCACACACTTAAGATGCTGCAGCACCTCTGAGCACTTTTACAATGTAATCTGCAGTAAAAGCACATTAACAACAGGGACGTCTGAGGCTGGATGTTCTAAAAAAGTCATAATAAAGATAGTGACATGGTCTAGTCAAAACAACTGCTACTTTGTGGTTCATCTATCAATAAGTACAATTTAATCACATATTTATAGTGAAAAAAATGTTCTAACAATAAAAGTAATGTGCTAATAATTTGCTATTTTCAGGGCTTGTAATGCAGTGTTTACAGCATTAGACCATTGTCAGGAAGCTGTAGAAATAACCAGTGAAGATCATGTCATTCAGGTAGGGGGGAAAATGTTAACTATTTTATAGAATTTGAAAAGAGGGACCCCAAAGAGATCTTGGCTCAGTAGTTTCTATTCTCTATCAATATTTTAGTTTTGTTGCCCATTAGAAAGTCTTGTGCAATGAACTGCTTAATATCTGATTGCTGCACATAGATGCCTGCTGAATTTTTAAGACTTTTCCTTCTGTAACTTCATTGAGATTATAGTTTTCAGTAATGTTGTTTCTGGTAAAACCTGCATTAGTTCTCTTTCTGTGCCTTCTGATAGATTACATATTGCCTTATCTATTCAACTTCTTATGTGAATAAAATGTTTCACCATTACATAGTATTTTTATATGAGAAGCACTAAATTGTACAAGATGTGTGGTTGTGGCTTTAGCATATAACTTGTCATACTTTGATACTTATATATAACTTACTAGCCTTTAAATAAGTTTGGGTTTGTTTTTTTTTTTATATTGTCCTAATGTACCTTTGTTTTGTCAGTATGTTAATCCAGCCTTTGAACGGATGATGGGGTACTGCAAGGGAGAACTTATTGGCAAGGAGCTTACTGAACTACCTAAAAGTGATAAAAACTCTGCAGATCTTTTGGACAATATAAACACATTTATTAAAAAAGGAAAGGTAAGCAAATAAGACAAACTCATGTGAAATCACTATAGAGCTCTATTCTGATTTGGTTTTTATTGCTGTAGGTTTAAGAACACAAGATGTGTTCTTCATGAGTACACATATAAGACCAGAATTCTGTTTCTCAGATGCCTAAGCACAACAGCCCATGCCACAGACAAGTGACTACAGATTTCATTAGCTTTGCTTTTAGGATCTGACTGAACTCCTGCTGATTTGCTGGCTTAAGATCAGTATCAGAATGTTTTCTGTGTTTCTGTTTTGCCTAGAGCCCATGGAGCTTTTGTTAGATGGAATGTAACAGTTTGTCCCTCAGTCAGTCTCTCAGGTGGCTGAATCATCCAACCAAAATGTGTAACTTCTGTCAAACAGCAGAGCCTTCTCTGACTGCATACCTAAAACACCAAAATGTATTGGCACTCAGTGGGGTGCCAATTGTTTTCCTAATAACTATAGTTAGAATATCTGCAGTGCACTGTGAACTCCTGTCCTTGCAGTGATGGGCCTGGCAATATGTTCCCCTAATACACACAACAGTCTCTTATCCCATCTTCCCTGGGTTGGAGAAATACCTGTCGCCCTTCCCTGTCCCAGGTTCTGCTTCAAGACCTTTGGGGAGCTCTTGAACCTTTGAGTCACGTCGAGCAATGATCTGAGCTTTGTGAGTCACTGTCTGGAGTTGTTTGCAGGTTCACCTCGGTTTATTAGCAATACCTACAGGCCACTCCTGCTGTGCTCCTCCTCATTTATATGGGCTGCCCAGCAGCTAGCGCTGCCTGCTCAAAGGTATCTGCTACCCATTTTCCAACTTCATCCTACCCGGCCACGTAGTTCCCTCCTTAAGATATTTCCTCTTTGAGTTTAGTTGAAGGATGTCTTTAGATCAAGGATTTCTGAAGTTTAGCATATATATCGCATGACAACTGACAGCTTCAAAGCTGAATGGTGCTTGGGCTTATTTCTACTGGTGCCAAAGGATATCCTCTGGAAGTGTTGCAGCCACTGCTCCTTATGGTGGCACCTAGCAAGAATATTTGTCACCTCTTTAAATAGGTGATACCTGAAGTTCCTTGTAAAAAATACCTTCTCCCAGGAGGAACATAATTATACTGTCTTTATATTAAAGATGCTGCTCTCCATTGGGTGAATAGTTGCTGCTCACTCTCTCTCTCTCTGGTATACTTAAGAGTACATTAATTTCATACAATTTTTAAAAATACAACTATGAAATAAAAATAATAATTTAATACATAAGGTATGCAGTAATAAACATTTGACTGCAAGCTATGTATGCTCAGATGCTGTCTCTGTTTTGTGTGTTTCTTTAGGAATGGCAAGGAGTTTACTATGCAAGAAGGAAATCAGGAGACAGTATCCAGCAGCATGTGAAGATAACACCTGTGGTCGGTCAAGGAGGGTAACTAACTTGTCCGGAACATAATTGCTTTCTGGGTTTTAGGGCCTTCTCTCTGCTTTCTGCATCTGTAAGTTTGACGTGAACCTCCATGTATTTCAGCAACTGGGCAACCCCCATGTCTGTGTGTGTGCTTGTACATGTTCCCACCTTCGCAGTTTAGAAGGGACACATTGCCAAATTCTGCTCCCAGATTTGCAGGAGAATTCCTAGACCAACAGAAGGATCAGGTGTCCTGCAATAAAAACCTCAATGACTCAAAACCTCACCCAGTTGTCTTGATGGTGTTGCACTTGGCATCTGTTTTCCTGAGGGCTTGGAGATCTCTGTTTAAAAAATAGTAATGTATCACTTCACTTCTGTCTTTACAATGTGATGTAGTAACAAGTGATGATTTCTCTTGCTAGGAAAATAAGACACTTTGTGTCCCTCAAAAGACTGCATTGTACCAATGAAAACAACAAACAGGTATTGTATTTCTTTCATGTGATAATTTTCATAGCTTTTAGTGAACTGATATTTTTTGGCTTATAAATTTTTCCAAGAAGATGTGATCTATACTGTCAGTGAGATTCTCACTGATTGTTGGAGCAAGCAAGAAAACTTCAACATTTGCATGCATTAGTCTCTGTAGGACTCCTGAGGAGGACCATCTTTCCTTTTCTGGAGCATGGATATGACAGTTGAGTCCATGATACTGTGGAGCAATACAGATAACAGTTCAAAGGGAGTACAAGGCCTGTTTTGTAGGGCTGTTCTTACCAGTCTGATCTGGGGTACTCATGCCAACTAATGATCTGTGCTCAGTGGCCCCAAGGTTTGACAATGCGTGGTACTTATGTGAAGTGTAGCACTCATGCTGGCCCTGAGACTTCTCACACCTGCCAGAACAGGTGCTGTGGAAGGGTGCAACTCAAGCCATGACCCCAGTAAACCAGCAGCAGTGGCAGAGCTGGGTCTCTGCAGTCCAGACACAAATCCACACCAGCTGCTCCTGCAACAAACATGATGGCGTGGGGAGCTGTTTGCTGCCATCTTCTCCTTGCTTCCTCCCTCTGATGGTGTCTGAGGCAAATGATCATATCACATATATTGCCCCAGAAATACTCTAGTAAGTGCCATGTTGGGTAAAGAAGTCTAGACTTTTGTGAGCAAAGGAGTGAAGGCTGTCTTTGGCATGTGGTCTCTAGGGGTGAGATAGAGAGTGGGTGGAAACATTTTAGACCAAGCATGTGCTCTGTAAAGAGGATATGTTTCCATGTCATTTAGGAGAGGGGTTACGTATCTTGTTTTATTTAGAATTTTATGTGCTTTTATTTGTGATGGAGGTAAAGACATGTAGGCAGGAAAAGTATTTAGAAAGTCACTGGTATGTCTACTTGCCCCTTCTTCTGTAGAACAATACTGAATATTAACACGTTACTGGAAAATCACTACTTCTAAAAGAATTTCATAGGGGGTAGCATTTGACTGTTGAAACCATGCTCCTTGCACAAGTTTTTGTGGAGGTAGGTAGTAACAAATCAAGGAGAACTCTGCATAATTCTTGGAAGAACTTTGCATGCCTATCATTGAAAAATAAGACTCATAGTATTTTAAACTGACTTCATCTTTGAACTAAAACATGTGTTTTAGTATTAGCAGCAAAATATCATTTGCAGTCATAGGATGTTTTAAAATGTTCAGGCTAGAGGGCAACAGAGTTTTATAAAAGCAGTGATAAATTTGCATGTATTTTTAATTCATTGTTTACACCTCATAACTGTTGTTTCATTTATAGCTGCTTTGATGTTGATTTGAAAGTAAGACATAATCTAATGGCTTTTTCTATATTATACACACAGCTGAAAGACTGGTACAGGGAAGTGTATATAGGATATTCTTAATGCTAGATAATAAGTATTACAAACTTGTACCCATATGTAAAAAATAGCAGTAGGAATACAAGAAAAAAGTAAATTTTGTTCCATCTTTGCCCTGTAGATTGGACTGCTTAAACCAGTAAGAATCATGCAATCATAGATTGATTTGACTGGAAAGGCACCTTAAAAATCACCTAGCTCCAACCCCCTTGTCATAGGCAGGATCGATCACCTTCCACTAGACCAGGATGTTCAAAGCCCCACCCAACATGGCCCTGAATTTCCAGGGACAGGGCATCCAAAATTCCTCTGGGGAACCTGTTCCAGTGTCTCACCACCTTCAAAGTAAATAATTTCTTCCTGATAGCTGGTTGAAACCTACTTTCTTTCAGTTTAAAACCATTGCCTCTTGTCCTATCACTACACACCCTTGTAAAATTTTCTTTTATTTTCTTGTAAGTCCCTTTAGTAATTGGAAGGTGCTAAAAGACCTCCCAGAGTCTTCTCTTCTGCAAACTGAACAACCCAACTCTCTCATCCTTTTCACATAAGAGAGGTGCTACAGCTCTCTGGTCAGTTCTGTGGCCCTTCTCTGGGTCTGCTCCAGCAGGTTCATGTCTTATGCTGGCAGCCCCTCCAGCACACTGTGGCCCCTCAAGCAGTTGTGACACCACAAAGCTTGGTGTCATCAGCCAGCCTGCTGATGGTGCACCTGATCCCACTGGCTGTGTCCCTGACAAAGATGTTACGTAATCCTGGCCCTAGTGCAGACCCCCACGGAGCACCACTCGGCACTCCTCTCCACCCAGACTCCTGGCCATCGGCCACAACTCTTTGAGCAGGAGCATCCAGGAGCATCTTTATCCACTGCACGGTCAACCTGCCAAATCCAGGGCTCTCCATTGTAGTGTCAAGGGTGTGCATGGAAGCATCAAATGCTTTGCACAGGTCCAGATAGATGCCATTCCCTTATCCACCCGTCGTAGGAGGCCACCAAATATGTCCGGCATGATTTGTCCTTAGTGAAGCTGTGCTTGTTGTCAGCAATTATCTTCTTCTTTTCCATATGCTTTAGCATAGTTTCCAGGAGAATCTGCTCCATGGATTGCAGGGCACAGAGATGAGACTGGCCTGTCATTCCCTGGGTTTTCCTTTTTCTTTTCTAATCTTTAGAAATGACAGTTAAATAAGTTTCCCCATTTCCAGTCACTGGAAACTTCACTGGACTGCTATGAGTTCTCAAATCTGATAGACAGCCGCTTAGCCACTTCCTCCACCAACTCCTTCAGGACTCACAAATGCCAGTCAGGTCCTAGTGATCTAGTGCACCTTCAAGTTCCTTGGATGTTCCCAAACCTGATCTTCTCCTACAGTGGGTGATTTTAATTTTCCTAGTCTCTGCCTTTACCTCCTGTGACTAGAGAAGTGAATGTAGCTGGAACACTTGCAAGTGAAGACCAAGGCAAAAGAATCAGAGAGTACCTCAACCTCCTATGTGTCCCAGGTAACCACATCTCCTGTTTCCTTCCAGAGAGAGACCATATTTTCGCTAATCTTTCTTTAATTCACCAAGTTACCAATAGAGGGTTTTCTTGTTGTCCTTTATCCCTGGCCAGATTTAATTCTATCAGGCTTTCCTAATATGATCCCTGGCTCATCAGACATTCTCTGTATTACTCCCAGGCTACCAGTCCTTGTTTCCACTCTCTGTAGACATCCTTCTTTTGTTTGAGTTTGTCAACAAGTTCTTTGTTCATCCACACAGGCCTCCTGGCATTTCTGCCACACAGGCCTCCTGGCATTTCTGCCACACAGGCCTTCTGGCATTTTTCTGACTTCTCTTTGTTGTGAAGCATCACTCCTGAACTTGGAAGAGGTGACCCTTGAATATTAACCAGGTTTCTTGGGCCCATCTTCTCTCCAGGGCCTTATTCCATGTCATTCTATCAAGTAGGTTCCTGAAGAGGCCCAAGTCTCCTCTCCTGAGGTCCATGGTAGTGAGTTTATGCATCAATGCCCTGAGGATCTTGTACTCCTCCATTTCATGATTGCTGCAGCCCAGGCTGCCCTTGAACTTCATGTGCCCCATAAGCTTCTCCTTATTAGTGAGAAAAAGGGAAATTAAGAAACAAGGACTTGTGTCCAAGGTAACATTCATATTCCCCTGTATTGCTGGAAAGTATCATCCATTCCTGTCTTTTTGATACTGGTTCATGAGAAGCTACTAGTAAATTAAGCACTATAGACCTGGGAAGATTTACACATTTGGTGATCCCAGGGAATATGGCCTTCAAAAGGTTCTTCACAGATACAGAGGTCTGCCACAGAGATTAAAGACTGCAGCCTAACAGAAAGCATGGTCTGTGGAGATTTTAGGTCCCTTGAGGAAAAACAAGGTGTATTTGATAGAACTATGTAATTGTTGTTTCACTTCTGTCACAGAAATATCTCATGCCTGTAGGAGATCCTGGACAATGCAGTTTTCCTAATATCCATGCTTTAATACTTGCAGCAGTAGAACTTTTCCTTAGACTAAAAAAATTAGGTTCCTTTTCAAGCTACAGATAAATCTTTATGGATGGATAAAAGGAAATCAAATAAAATATTTACTTAAGTTACAGAGCAGTAAAAGCTGTCATAATTCAAATTTTGATGTCAAATGTCTAATGTTTCACTAAATCAAAATAATTTTAAACAGCTTGATCTCAGCATTTGATCATACTTGATCAGACAGTATATGCTGACTTCAAAACATCCTTACATCATCACACAGTTTCACCCTAAAAAAAAGTATGTGTTTTTTGCCTGTACCAACATCCTCTGTAAGGGATATGAGAGACCACTGGAACCTTCATGTATTTCCATGCCAGATTTATCACATAGAAAAACCCAGCATGTTAAATTTATGCATGGAAAAAAGATATCTAAAAGAGCATTAAGCATTCCTACAGTGAAGATTTATGAATGAGGATTGACTTTCATGTGACTATTCCCGTGTGCTGAGCCTAGGTAATTATTAATGCTGCCATTGTCAATTTGAGACCTGGCAGGATAGAGTCCAGTGTTTTCACATTCATTTACAAGAGAGGTGTTGTTTCTTTCAAGAACATATTGACCCAAGATTAACTGTGTAACTGCTCTCATAACTTACCTTACATGGCTCTTTCAGGACATGCCTGCAGAAGGGGAAGAGAAGTATTCAGAACAGAAACGTGGTTTATTTTTTTAGTAAAGCACTTGGAGGACTGTGCCTATGTTTCTGCCAGTTGTGCAGTAGACAGAGATATATCCACTGGCTTTGAGAGAAGCTCCAGGATGAGGCCAGAACAAGCAGTTCAGATGCCCTGTGTCACTGTACCATATTTTATGAGATTTCCTTAAACTTACTCTGTTTGGATGAGATTATTTCTCTGAGAGTTTCTACATGGTTACAAGAGAAGTGTTCAAGCTTTTAAAATTTTTTTGGATGAAGAGTCAGTTCTTACACTCCCCTGAACAAGAGTTATATGGAGAATGGGCAAAGGGTTGCCCTTTCTTTTTTTTTTTTTTTTTAATTCATTAAAAAAGCCATACCTGAATTTTGTGGAATTTTATTCCTTTCCATTTTCTTCTCTTCTCCATTCACGCTCTGTCTCTCCCCCCCAACACCAGAAAGGAAGAAATGAAAGTTGTGCAAGAATGACAGAATGACAGAAAAGACAATTTGTATCATTCCTTTCCTTTCTTTCTTGAATAGCCCCCATGAGGACCCTGCAGCATGCGCAGTCACAAACTGCTGCAGACCAGTAAGAGCACACAAGTACAACCTTGTCATACTCTCCTTTTAACTGACAGGTTGCAACCATGGATTTCATGCTTCCATGCAATCTAGTGCTTTGCTACAGGCAGGTGATGGATTTGGTCAGAGGAACCAGTTACCATATGATAGTAATGGGTTCCTAAATATTATGTGAACTGAATAACTTGTAATTACAGTGTCAAGCACTGACAATTATTCATCTGAAGTAAGAGGGTATGTGTATCTTCTCTAGTGACTGCAGTAAAAAAGTAAGCATTATTCCTAGTAAGCATTATTTCTATTCTATCTCTGTGACTCCATTAGCTATACTTAAATACATCACACACCAATTTTCAAGAAATAACTTGAGGAGCTGCCATTTCTGGTCAGTTTTCCTATCAACAGCAAAACACTTTCTTCTAACCACATTACAAAGGAAAGGGGTGAGGTGATTAGCAGGTATTAAACTGTCATGAACTGGACAGTACTTTTGTTTTTGAGAAGAATGAAAAAACAGAGGAACATTTAATCTGTGTTACTGCAGACCAAGCAATAGCTGTAAATTTTAGTATATGGAAATATCCTATCTAAATTCTAAGAAAGCTTGAAATACCTACTGTTGGAGCTACCTAAAATGTTTCAGAAGAACCAAGAATTAAGATTTTGTATTTAATTCTTTATTCATGAGAATGGTTAAAAACTACTTGAAAAAAAAAGGTCTGATGAATGACACCTACCTCTACCCCTTATTTCCTGGAGAGTAGTTTTTATAACTGAGTTTTTTGAAGTCCAGTTTATCAGTTATCCATGAAAGGATGCATTCAAAATTAGCTTCAATGTTCTAAGAAAATTATTTTTAAAGCACAAAAAATAATGTTGTAGGATTTTCTTATTTTATTCTTTCAGGTTCATATGCAATTTGCACTTAACACACTACCTAAATGAGTATCAATTCTCTTGTAAACACAGGCATTAAACAGGAATTCAGTACATAAAAGCACTTGTATCTGTGATTTTCTGCATGGCATATCTGTTTGCTTTCATATTATTTCTCTACATCTAATTACACCTGAAGAAAAGTCTGTGACAATTTTATTAAAATAGCTGAATGGAAAATGCTGAATATGGACAGTGTTGAATGCAGCCTGTTTAAAGCTTTTTGTATTCTTTTTTCTTACATATATATTTTACTCTTATCTCCAGCTCTACAAGAGTCACCGTGAGGATAAGTACACAGGAGACAATTCCCAGTCAGGTTAGAATATTACCATTTACCTCTACATTCTGCTGTGCTGGGGGTTGTGTCAGGGTTCTCTGCTGGTATGAATGGTTGTCTCTTCCCCCTGTCCAGTCAGTGGTCAGAGCTGACGGCCAAGGACAGATGCCAGCTGCCTCTGATACCACACCATGAATTTGACTTGTAATCATCAATAATTGAGTCTCCTGTGCAGACCTCTTGCTGTGCATTTGAAGTTCAGATGCATTGCTCTGTTGCATTAAAACACTGTGTTTGATCCTGTGGCTGGTGTACCTTGGCACCGCTTTGTGTTTGAAATGTGGAATGTGCTGATTTGTGCCAGCACACCTGCCACAGTGTGTCCAAGTTTAGGACCTGTCAGCACAGGATAAAACAGTTGTCTCCAAGGTGTCCAGGCCTGAGCAACTCAGTTCCAGTCAGCACTGAGTTGCTGCAGCATGTCTGCCACCCTTGTCTTGTGTCACAGGTAGGTTTGCTTACTCACAGACAGCACACTGTAGCCCTCCTTGAGTTTTGCAGAGAGTTTTTGACTAGAAGTGTGGAGCACAAGGAAATAATTCCTTCCTCCAATGCAATGTAGTATTTGGAATACCCCTTTTCCCTGAAGAAGGAGGTACTTCAGGCCAGTTCTAAGCTTGTGACTAGTGGTCTCAGCCAGACTGATGTCTTAATTATGAGTAAAAATGTTCTCATGCCTTGTTACCTTCTGGCATCTAAAGCCTTTCCTGCTATGAAAGGTGAGACAATGTCGCTGTGCAACTTCAGGCAGCTTCTGGTTTTCACATGGGAGGAGGATATTACATACTAAGAGCACAGGACGCGACTGCTTGGCATCCCCTGCTCTTTCAAAGAGCCTAAGAATACATACAAACATCTTAGAGCTTTGTGATGCCAAATAGCAATGGGCAGGGGGAAGAAGAGACAATATGAAATTGGCTGTCCTCGTTCCCATTGCTGCCAGCAGAACTGATCCGCAGTATGTTAAACCATTTGCTCCTGTATCCCTGTAACAAAAGGAGATTTTGTTCTCACTGTTTCTTTCCTGCAAACAGGAAGGTGAGGAAGCCCATAAATTAAGCAGGACACTTGTTACTAGCACATTCATATTAGCTTACTAATGTTTTAAGTTTGCTCATTATTGTGACAGATTTCAGCAAGACTGGGAAGCCCCATGCTATGACACCACAATGACGACTACAGTGCAGTGAAAGTAGGCGGTCTCAGAGCATGTGATGTAGGTTATCCTTCCCTGCAGTTCATGGCTGTGGTCCAAGAATAACTTTTCAGGGCCATGGGCATATACCAACATGTGACGAGCATAGAAGAGTAATCCATGTGTATCACGCTGTTTGCAGTGGTGTGAGATTTGTAACAACCTGGATGATAAGATTTTCTGCTCACCAGGTGAAGAAAAATTTTTACGTAGGCATTTAAATATTTACAGATGAAACCACAGTAGGGCAGAGAGTAGCTTCTATGCACCTGTGACTCTTTGGGTGTCACTAAGAAAGTATCTGACTTGCTAGTTGGTATTTAACACAAGGAGAGTTGTTTTGTCAGCTATAGTGACTCACAGCTATGTTTATGTGTAAATGCTTGCTCCCACTGAAGTGCCTTATGATAAAGTCATCCAAATGTTAGTGAAAGAATGGGGTTTGTAAGAGGAGTACTATCAAATAAATAAATAAAATTATTTAACGTGCATTAGCTATGCCCTGCTCTTAGGTGTCAACAGAGGAAAATGCTTTCAATTTTCCAGTTCAGACTACAACAAAGAAGACCCAAACTGTCTATGGCAGAAAAAGAGAATTAAGACAGAAACTATTTCAGTAATTTTTAGGATGGATGAATTTTTAATTCTGGAGAATTGTATGTTAACATTTTATTTTGCTAAAGAGAGGCTGCATACATCCTGTCTTGTGACATTATAATGAAAATTGGTCTTTATGTTAAGAATATCAAAGTCATACTTCTGACTTTAAATGCTTTTATCAGCTTTTGAAAGCCTGATAGGGTCTTTGATCCTTTAGTGGCATTTTAGATACCTTGGGAATCGGTACTATAAAGACTCTTGGAAAGTGGTGAATAGATGCATGGTTGCTGTTTTAAAACATAAGGGAGAGTGCAGACTTTAATATATTAGAGAAAAATGAAATTTTACCAGATTTTTTTTTTGAGACTCCTTCCTGTCATTTTATCCAGCTTTTGAATTTGACTGGATGTGATAATTTCTCTGGCTTTAGCATACAGCAGTTTCAAGAATAAGTTTATTGCAGCCTAATATTCAGAAGAACTAAATTGATTGTTTAATCATTTTCAGCATGTTGGATTTTCCTTAAACACAGGGTACAAATATTTATTGCAAATGAAAGCAATAAGTATACTGAGTCTGAAGTATGCTTTGACTTTAAGAGTGTAGAGTAAAATGAGACTCTTCTCAATTGACTAGTTTTAGGCAGTTAAACTCAGGCTTCTTCAGTGGTCAGAGGAAAGCAAAAAGAATTCACACAAGGGGTTCAGCCCACTGCCTGAGACATATCTCCTGAAGCAGGACCTCTGAAAACCTCAGATGATGACAGCCTGCAAGACTGCTGCTTTTAGGGAGCTAAAGTTAGGTGAAGCAAGTCTCCTGTTCCATAAGGCATCTTGACTTCCGTACAAAAGACCCTTCCAGGTGACTTCAGACAAGTTGGTTTAAATTGATAGATACTGAGTTCCTTGTTCTGATGTGCAGAAATTGCAGTATTTCCCCCACTTGTGTGATATGGTTAGGATCACTTAATTAAATTTCCAAAATTTTAGATGGATATTTTGTAGAGGTTTTTTACTTGATACATTTTTAAAGCTTTTGTTTTGTACTTACAGAATCTGGCTCTTACAAGTGCAAGAACAGAAGGAAAGACTCAGTTGATGTTAAGTCAATAACATCTCAAAGTAGTGATGGTAAGAAAGCAAACTATATGTACAATACTATAAATATACATTAATATATATTTATAAATAAATAAGAACTTGGCTTGGGCAATAAAACTGAAGAACAAAAGAATAACTAGACAGATTCACAGCTGGTTAAACAGAGATTACTCAATTTCTTTATAACTGCTGTAAAATTTCTTTCTGATTTGCAAAGCAGTGCCCCAGCATAAGTACCAGCATTGCTACACAATGCATGACAGTGCTGAATGCCTTCACAGGGAGGAGGAGTGACTGTGCCAAGGGATAGAAGCAGCTTGCTAAAAGAGTGTGTGGTGAAGCATTAGTGCCACCTCTCTTAGAAAACTACAGCTTGTGCTTCTAAGCACATATTTTGGTTTATTAATGTCTAACATGAAGGAGCCCATTGCTGCTGGTTACTTCAGAGCAGTACTTCTGATCCCATTTGTGACTGCTTACTGGGGTGGGACAATGGTGGCAGAGATTTCTTTCTGCCCCTGTGTGTAGTGAGAGAAGCACTGCTTATGGGGAGCATGAATGGTTTTCATTAGAGCAACTGTACCACCAAGATGAGTGACACACACAGACTTACAGCAGGAGCCATGTCTGACAGAGATCCATTGGAGCCAAAGGCCATGAAGTATAAGTACAACTCCATTCTGAAGTGAAGGATGGATGGAAAATCTGACAGCAAAACTGAGGGGTGGCTGCCAAGGAGGCAGACAACAGTACAAGAAATGAAACAATGAAGAACTTGCAGGGGGAAAGATACAGGAGAAATGGGACACGAGGCTGTATTTCATTGTGCTGTGTCCCGGCCTTCTGCACTCTTCTAATGCTGTCATCTGATTCACACCCTGTGGCTCTTTAATGGCAGCTCCAAGTTTACAGACCCGACGGTACTCTTCGATGGCACGGATTCATTCTATGACAATAGAAGCTCCTATCACAAAGGTGAGTCCTGAACACTGACTTTTCCACAAACTACAGTTTTGAGTTGCACTCATAGGGAAGTAAGTAGTTTCTGGACAGACAAGCAGAGTGCTTCCTGCACTTTGTATTTAACAAAGTAATATAAGTAATTTGTTTTTATTACCATTTTCTACATCTTATCATGGCATTCCAAATGCTAGTCATAAGGAAGAATAGTAAGGAGGGGAGAAGAATGTCCTTACTACATGCATGGAGTCAGGCAGAAAGGAGACACTGCTCTGTGGGGTCATGTGCAAGTAGGAGGACGTTCTTCCAGTCTCACCTTCGCTCTCACTACTGGTATTTATAAGATACCATGCAAAAGAGGGAGCACCTGCACCATCTTTTGTCTCCCCCACTTTCTGCAGCCCTTCTTCACTCTGTTAAACAAACTCTGCTGTCACAAATCAGCTGCACTGTCACTTGTAACACACTAGGCTGTCAGGTATCTTCCACTTTTAAATAATTTTTTCCCTTCTCCCTATCTTTTCTTGCTATCATCAAGCTCTTACTTCCCAGCATCACTGTGACTGTAAAAGCAACTGTCTCCTTTCCTTTTCCTTATCCTCAATCATACCCACAGGGAGGCTTGCAGTTGCTGTGCAGCAGCCTCTGGCTCCTGGAGAAGATAGCACTGGGACTTTCTTCCCATTATTCTTGGCAGAGCCAGGAGCAGTCACTGCTGCATTTCTGGATTGTGGCTGAGGCACAGTGTGGGTTTCAAAGAGCCATCCTCTTCTCCCTCAGTCCAGCACTTTATGCTCTCTGCCCTTCACTTCTACATGGAGAATATCATGGTATAATACCAGTGTATCTGAGTCACATCCAAGAGTTTGTTTGGGTTTTCCTTCAGAGACTGAATAATTTGTTTCAGAACAGACCTGGATATGCTGAAGTACTGGACATTGCTGATTTTTGGTCCACCCACCGGCAACTTCAGATACTTCACACCATTCTACTTCCACTTCCCAGGAGTTTGCCAGTTAAAAATAGCAGACAGATACCAGGAAATCTGAGCACAAATTTACATTTTCAGAGTTGTACTTCAAGGGTTGTGGGGAATTACATTGTATTTGATGAAAATTAGCATAATCAAGACAAGAATAAAAATTTTGTAATAAGAAAAAAGTGCCATTCACTTTTTTTTGCCTGCCCCCTTAATGTGCTTTCAGGTTATTAACATAATTAACGCTGCCCAGGAAAACAGCCCTATCACTGTAGCAGAGGCCTTGGACAGAGTTCTGGAAATCCTGAGGACAACGGAACTTTATTCCCCTCAGCTAGGTACCAAAGATGAAGATCCTCACACAAGTGATCTTGTTGGAGGTCTGATGAACGTGAGTAAAATTAGTAAACACGAAATTGCTGGACCAGTGTCCTACATCACAATTTACTGCTTTGCTGTGCTAAAATTTCCCAAGCAATGGGAAGGGGACTTGTAATTCATTACCATTTCAGTTAAGTATTTTGGCCTTTTTACTAGCAGTACTGTAGGATGTAGTAAGCTATGGCCACATTTCAGTCCACTGTGTGCATTCATCCTCAGATACAAGTGGACAGACTTGCCACCAGAAACTATATCCAATCTCTCAGAAGATACTGAAGGAGATACTTACAGAAACTCTAGAAGTTTATATGGGATTAGAGGGCTTGCTCTATAGTTAGTCCAGTGTATCAGTGAGGTTGCTTTAATCAAACACTAATTTTGGTCCTGTAACAGCAGGAAGAGGCAAATTACCTTAATTTTGTCATGGATTTACTAATTTTTTTAATAGGCACTGAACTAATCCCCACCAAAATAATGTAAACAACATTTAAAATAAATTATAATGGCCAATTTGAATGATGGAGGTGCCAATGAGATGGTCAAGGTGGGCAATACACTGTGTATTTAATATCTTTTCTGGAGATCTCATACCAGTGTTCCAGGGATCCTTTAATGTTTGTTTTTAAAGACCCTAAAAACAGGATTATACTGTAGTGCTGCAATAAGAGCACTGCTTTTAGTACCTAGGAATAGTACCCAAAGTGCATGTAGTGTTTTTGCAACTAGTGATGCAAAAAAACTAAGATAAACTTGCTTTCTTTTTCAGGATGGCTTGAGAAGACTGTCAGGAAATGAGTATGTGTTTTCTAAGAGTAAGCCATCATTTTAAACTTCCCATTGCACGTGTGACTTCTTTTGTCAGTACTGCTAACATACAGCTTCAGACTAATTTGCAGCGGGATATATGTCTCTGGAAATGGTTGTCTAAATGACTGCAGCACAAGTGCTAGGCTGCCTTGATTTTGGTGTTGAAACAGGCTCAAACAATTAAAATAATCCATTTCAAAATGTTAGCAAAAAACCAAATTGTCACTCAAAGAAATGTTCACTGATCTTTTTGGTTTATGTTCAAATGTTTGGTTTATGTTCAAATGCTCTGTAATAAACCTTTCTATTTATAGGCATTTATAGACTTTTTCATGTAAGGAAAAAAAGTTGTTTTTCTTGAAAAAGAGTTGCTTTCTAAATGGAATTCTGAAGAAGGGCTGTGGTAGTGTAGAGAGAATAATCCAGAAATGTGTTAATTCCCAAATTCCATTTCAACAGATATGAACCTGAGCCATACTCACCTTCCAGTGCCAAACACCATCAATGATGTTCCACCCTGTATTACACAGCTCCTAGATAACGAAGAAAGTTGGGACTTCAATATTTTTGAGTTGGAGGCTGTTACAAATAAAAGGTACTGGACTCCTTTCCCTGGGTGCCCAGAGAAAGTTTGTTGAGGAGCTGTAGCTCTGGGAAAACTGCAGCAAGACACAGCAAATCTGTGAAAGCTGTCTTGCTTGACACAGATCCACTCTGTCCAAGTGATACTGTGCAATGTAGTCTGATGCTGCCACATGTTGGATGTCCTCCAGATGCCCTCCTTTTTCTTGCTCATATGCAAATGGTCCTGCTGGAAAAAGCAAACCTCTCCCATTCCTCACCTAAATCAACCCACAATTTGGGAAGATCTAAGGCAACTGTAGCTTTTGATTATAGGGATAAAAAAAATGGGATGGAGGATAAACCAGTGATAGGATCAACAGACTGGGATTTTAAAGCTTATAATGAAAACAGACGTCAGTAGTTTTGAGGTCATGCAGACCACAAAAATAGGCATGTCATCCAGACAGAAAAGTTGCTTTCATTCCAAGATGCAAAGAATCAAACAGACTACCCGCTCTTATGTACTCTCTTTGCATAAAATAGCCATTTTAGAAATTTGCATTTGCCTGGTTTTAATCTGCAGATGTTGGTGTTTGGTTATGCCTTTCTCAGCTCAGAGGCTCCGTAGGTCATCTTGCAGGAGTGAAAAATGTAACTGATGGATAGGACTCTCTCACAGGAGAGAGTACAGAGTACAAGGCAACCCAGAGTGGATTTGGATTTAAGAATCAAAAAGATTAGAGGTTTTATTCTGTTTACTGTTTCACACATGGGATTCCCAGCATCGTACAAACACACACACCCACACACAGAGAGCACTTTACAATTGAAATTTGACCTGTTTTTTGGCTTAGGACTTTTTTACCTTTTGGCATGTGCTCATGTCATGTTCAAAGTCTGCTTTTTCTCCTCAGGAAAAAAATACATGGAATTTTGTTTGATTGACAGATACTAAACACAAAAAAGAAAGGGGTTTAAGGTGTTTTTTCTGAAGCCACAGAAATTGTTGAAACTCTGATGGAATTGTACCATTTCTACAAAACATTAAAATAACGTCTGAAAGGATGACAGATGCAATAATTTGTAACCTTGGCCTGGCTTTTTAGAGGTTATAGATATGCAATTTAAAAATGTTTAACTTTACCCACCCCTTTTAAAAGTCTTTGTTTCTTTGTTCAATGTATCACTTTTAGAACATCACAAGTTCCTATTTTACAGCAGTGCTTTTTTTCTTCTATTGTTTTTCAGGCCATTAGTGTATTTGGGCTTAAAAGTTTTTGCCCGGTTTGGGGTCTCTGAGTTTTTAAACTGTTCGGAAGCAACACTGCGGGCATGGCTGCAGGTCATTGAAGCCAACTACCATTCCTCCAACTCATACCACAACTCCACACATGCGGCAGATGTCCTGCATGCTACTGCTTTCTTTCTCGGGAAGGAGAGAGTTAAGGTAGAACATCACCTAGGAGTTCTTTGGGTTAGGATTTCAGCGTGTTTGCCGTTTTATGTGTGTCAGCCAGAAGTCAGATGTTTAAATAATGGTCCTGGCTTCATAAACTCTCTGTCCTTGAAGTCTTCCTGTGATGCAAGCAGGCCCACACACTTTCTCTAAAGTCTGTTTATACAAATTTACATTTTTAAGTAGCAATGATGGAGGTGGGGAGGGAACCTGGCTCTTTTCTGTCTCTTGTTAACTGGCTGTAGGTAACAGTTCTTAATAAAGCTTTGCAAAACTTTGGAGAGGGAGGTGTGAGCTATTCCCCCTCATACCCAGCAACAGGACATGTGGGTAAGATTCAAAGCTGTGCCAGGGGAGGTTCAGACTAGACATTAGGAAACATTTATTTACTAAGTGGTTAAATACTGGAACTTCTGCCTTCCCAGATAATATACTGGAATACTGGCTTCCCAGAGAGGTGGTTGATGCCCCGTGCCTGTCAGTATTTAAGGGGCATTTGGACAATGCCCATAATAACATGCTTTAACTTTTGTTCAGTCCTGAAGTGGTCAGGCAGTTTGGCCAATGATCACAGTAGGTTAGTTCCAAGTGCAATAGTCTATCCTATCCTGTGCTAAAACATAAGGTGTGTGGAGCAGAGTCAATGCAGATACATTCAGGCATGCACACAAAGTGGAAGGAAACCACTAGGTCATCCATCCATTGAAGAATTCTATGCAAAGATATTGCTCAGGTGACAGCAGTGTAAAAAGCTTCATTAAAGAAAGCATATTTAAATAAGGGTAGGAGTGGAAGTTTTGTGGTAGGTAATCTGTGGGCACAGTGAACGGAAAATGACTGCAAGGAGGTTGGATCCCTGCTTAAGTTCATATTTGTGCAATTGTGGGTACCTGGAAATTATCAGGAAATATTTACTGTAATTTTTGTGCCACATTGTAATTTTTTTCTCTTCCTGTAGGGAAGTCTGGACCACCTAGATGAGGTAGCTGCATTAATAGCTGCCACCATTCATGATGTAGACCATCCTGGACGGACCAACTCTTTTCTGTGCAATGCAGGAAGTGAATTAGCTGTCCTTTACAATGATACAGCTGTATTAGAGAGTCATCACACAGCACTGGCGTTTCAGCTTACAACAAAAGACAGCAAATACAACATTTTCAAGAATATTGATAGGTGTGTCTTCTGGATAAGTCTGTGTGGACTGCTTATTTGGCAGTTTGGGGCAAATTGAGAACCTACCTTCTAAACAAGAATTCATACCTTAAATACAGATAATAAAATTTAACAACTTCTGGAATCCTACGTAGACATGATTTACAAAAAGGTTTTCATGTCTCCCTTACCAGCCCTGTCTTCCACCTTGTAATTATTAGAAGCTTAGAGAGATGTTTAATAACCTTTTATGAATTACATTAATTTGGTCTAGTTAACAGCCTCAAGGCTGCATCTTTGCCCACTGCCTTTTCATTGAAGGAGCCTGGGCACTACTTTTTTGGGATATGTTTTACACACCAGCAGCTAGATGCTACATGTTGTGTCTGCACAAGGTCCTATGCATCCCAGCACTACTACATTTACATGGAATCAAAAAGGTGGTAGCAGAGGGCATGAAGAGACTGGGAGAGTTGGAAGGTCCTTGTGGTTGGCTGGGCATGCAAGCAGCCCAGGAGTCCCCACTGCATGACTCTAACTTTTGTAGGGACAAGGTGAGAGAGAAAGAGCTTTGAAAGAGACTGACTCCAAAGAGGTAATTGATCTGTCTACCTCCCATAATACTGTTGTTTTTTAAAAACCTGAGATTTGCATTCCAAGCTAACACTAACATACAGCGCAACATACATGGACACACTGGTGCCATTCCTGGAGAAGTTATCTTAGTCTTACAGCATTATGAAATTGAGATGTAAATTTTTGTTGACTTCACAGGATTTTCATTAAGTAAAAATAAAGGAGAGGGGGGAACTTGGAGAGGCATGATCTTGTACATTCCTCCATCCTTAACTGTTCCTAACTCTGAAGGTGCCAGGTTGTGGCTGAGTCTGTGAGCAGTGTTTTGTAGCACTATGTGAGCAGAGATGAGGAAAGGACAGAGCTCTGTCTGGCAAGTTCGTGAGCAAGAACTCTTTTTCTTTCCTAGAAATCGCTATCGGACATTGCGACAGGCCATTATTGACATGGTTTTGGCAACAGAGATGACAAAGCACTTTGAGCATGTGAACAAATTTGTGAACAGTATCAACAAGCCTATGGCATCTGAGGAGACCAGCCCACATGTAAGTGCTTGCAGGATTTTATGCCTTCAGGCATTTCAGTGAGGTTCTTCCCAGACAACCTTAAGTATCATTTTCATTCACCTTGCATTAATTTGCATTATGGCAATGCCCAAATGACACAAACGGATTTGTGGCCTCTCATATCTAAGTGTGAAAAAATATGCTTTTTCTCTTTTCTGCTCTTAGTTCATTTAAACACTTCATTTTGCAAGCCTTGTGTTAAAAGCCATCTGATATTCAGGCAATATATGAGTGCATGTTGTTTTACATGGAAAATTCTATTCACGGAGATAGGTTGGCACCTGTTTGTATGGTCCCGTCTCCAAACAGTGGGATTTGTCTGAGCCTAGGGATGTAACTGAAGAACCTCCTTGACAGTTTTGTCTCTGTGTAATCTGGAGCCCTCAAGCCCCAAGGAATAACTTCCTGAGACGTCTCCACTCCTGATTGTATCAAGAGACGTCCAGGCCTTTTTGTGTAACAGTTACAAACCCTCATGCTCCACCAGGGTTTATTTCATAAGCTGCCTCTGAGCTTCCCATCCCCTCCTTACCCTCTCTTGCCACCTCTCGAGGCTGGGCACCCAGGACTTCACCAGGTTCTCCAGGGCAGTGTTACCTGAGGAAAGACTATCTTAATGCACCATAGTGAATATAATGTTTTGCTGGAAACATGCAAAAAAAATCAGACAAAATTGAAGGTCAGCAATGCTAAAACCAAATAGAAGTATCTTCTGGTAGCTATCCAAAATAGGACTTTGTACTGTAGACTGTCGTGGGTACCATTTACAACTTTAAAGACAGCATTCTGTCATCTGAAATTACCTGCTTCTAGGGACTGCTGAGCTCCATTCTTCCACAATATGAGCTGGAAACCACAAATGCTGCTGAACTTATCTCACAATAAACGTGAAGGACAGAACCACTTGTACAATGGACTTCTTGTTTACCCTCAGTATTAGATTATTCTGTTCTTTACTGCTAACCGTGGCTCTTTCTGGTTTTGATCTTGAACAGCAGTTAAGGTACAGGGTTAAATTGACAGTTCTTTGCTGGGCTACCCATGCTGAAAAAGGATTAACTGCTAAACATAAAGTTAGAAGATTATTGCCTGAATTGGCAAAAGTCACAGCAAAATATTTCCCCATAAGCCACAAAGTTATTAATTTAGTTGTGGTGGCAAAAAGTACTTACATTCAGTTTTTGACTCAAGAGTTGAATTTAGCAGTGAAGGAGGCCAAAATCCCACAAATATATTATTTTGAGAATAGCATTAATGCCATGTGAGCTGAGGTGGAGGCCTTTCATTACTCCATAATTTACCTGTGCCTTTCTAAACTGTTCAAGACCCTGAATATGATGCCACAGCAGACTGGGAACAACTACCTTCTCACAACCACCTGGTCTCCAGAGCAGTCATTAAGAAGCTGCTATTTTACTGTCTAGCAAGAAGAGATTTCTGCAGTCAGTCTGCTGCTCCTGTGATTTCCTACTGTTAATCTCATAGATTATGTAAGATTTTACCCTCATCAGGAACTGAGATCAAAGATTATTCCAGGTTGAAGGTTCAAACAAAAAAAAGCAGTTCTACTTGAAAACATTCTGGAACTGAAAGTCAGAAACCTGCTTTTCTGTGTGTAAAAGAAATAGTTGTGCCAGTCAATTCAGCCTCCTGTGCCTGCCTCAGTTTTCTCATTTAGGAATAAAAATCTAACTCCAGAAACTCCCCTAAGTGAAGCAGTCCCCTACCATCACCACCCCTACATTTAAACATTCAGCAGTGAGGACTGTTTATGAGCTTACAGTTGGTGGATGCATGCCCTATCATGGACCTCTTCCAAGAGGGCCAGGCTGGGATGCATAGAAGGTAACATCCTACCTGATAAAAAGCCTGTGGCACTTTATTTCACAAACTTCGATACTAATTTTGAGAATGACCACAACTGTAATATGTACCTGGGTTATCATCAGTTACTTAGCAAGGCTCCAGTTCTCAGACATCACCTTCTCTAAGTTCCTGCTGCTCTGCATGAAACTGTAAGGCAGAAAACTGGGTGCCTACTTAGTGCCTAAGTTGGTAGAGCTGATAATGACGCCCTCCCTCCTGCTAGCAGGGGATGCCACCACTGGCCCCTGTAACCAACTCTCCTTTACAGAGTGAAGGCAGCAACACTGAATGTACAGCCAACATAAAGAATTTTCCAGACAACCAGACACTGATCAAACGCATGATGATTAAATGTGCAGATGTAGCCAATCCATGTCGCCCCCTAGAGCTATGTATCGAATGGGCAGGCAGGATTTCAGAGGAGTACTTTGCACAGGTATGTATATTTTTATAATTTAACTATTATATTATACAAGGAAGTGCACATTGGCTGATCTCCTGTTCCACACAGGGTCTCCCTGGTGTCACCACAGAGTCCAGATGTATGTTTTTTGTTCGCAGTCAGAACTGGCCCCTCCATTTCACACAGAAGAATTCACTCCAAGCAATCAGCTAGTTTGCTTATCATGAAACTCATTGTATAGAAAGGTGGAAAGGAGGTTTTGCATTTTCATGATCTGACCCAAAATGATTTGATTAGTCCTACTCAATTTAACTGGCTGAAATTCAAGATGGTCAGCACTCTTCTTATCCCATTACCCTCCCTGAAGATCAATGCCTCAGCTGAACTATTGGGATCGCCCTTTCTCTTCTAAGAAGGAACCTGAACTACTATCACTGTAGGCAGAAAAGTAATTCAGGCATGTGGGCAGTGTAAATACTTATCACATGGGACGTGTCCAGATAGTACTGGAAGCTCAGCTCTCTTTCTTCGCATGCAGTTTTTCTGACAGAAATGCAACCAGCTTCCTGAAACACTCTTTTAGCTCTTTAATTAACAACTGATAAAATCTTAGCTTTTATTTGCCAGTAATGATGTGGAAATAACAGCTGTGAGTGGAGAGGAAGAAAAGTGGGCATGCCTACCCTTCATATTCAGGTCACGCATGTGGCAGTTACTACTGAAAGAAAATTGTAGCTATTACCTGAGACATGTCTGAATTTCATTTTAATCATAGTGAATAAATTTTGTCATGTCCTAAGAAAGATCAAAGATCACTTATATCTCTCTAGCAGTCAAGGTATCAAAAACTAGCTTTAAATTGCCCAAATTAAGCACTAGCCTGCTTGCAGCAATGTGAGATTCGGAGAGCTGTTCTCCTGTTTATTCACCTCTGCTAATTTTGGAGACTGCTCTGCTGCCAATTCCTGTTTTAAATGCTGCCTGTACAATTTAAAAGGGGATGTTATTCCAAATTACATTCTAAGAAACTGCTGAGGTGATCTAATCCTCCACCATAGTGGGTGCAACAAAACTAGGCCTCTTCCAGTTGGGGACAGAGTTAAAGGGCATACCTTTACTTCCATTTACCTTATAACATGATACAAGCAGAGGAAGTAGCACCAGCAAGAATCTCTTCCTACTTAAAAGACAAATGGTTTGTAACACCCACTACAGATGTGGAAAAGTGAGAGAACAAACCTGTCCTCTGTCCTCTGCTAAAGGAATCTGCAACCCCATTTTCCGTATTTTTAGCTGGTACACCCTAATCACCAGATTACAGCTTTCTGTCTTGTTGGAGCTAAGTGCAATCACAGGACTGCAGTAATAAAGAGTACTTGTGAAAGGGAAGAGATGTTGATTTCAGTCCCTGTTCCAGACAAAATAACACCCATGAAACTAAGGTACTAAGGCTTGTCTCAAATCTCCTATTACAATTAATCTAATGCCTTGGCCTCTGCTATTCTAGCACAAAAGTCAGCAAAGCTCTAGTTGCTAACTGGAGTTTTGTCTTCTTAGACTGATGAAGAGAAGAGACAGGGCCTACCTGTTGTAATGCCAGTATTTGACAGAAACACCTGCAGCATCCCCAAGTCCCAGATTTCCTTCATTGATTATTTTATAACAGATATGTTCGATGCATGGGATGGTAAGTACTGATTTTTCTTCCTTGCTCTGACACAGAGATTTAGAGATTCCTACAATCCAAAATGACTAATCTCAAGCAGGCCTTGCATCCACTTTTTTCAGAGGCAGTACCCATATATAAGCAGTACAACACAGAATATTGTGCAATCACGACACTGAAGACTGTTTCACTGCACACGATGAAGTTGTGCAGGCAATCTACGTAGAGAAGGAGTAATGGCTTAAAACTAAGCTTTTTTTCAACTATGTGGTTTTTTTCCTTTAGCACTGTATTTCTTCTGAGCTGCAGAAACTAAGACCACCAATGGTCTTAGTTTACATGCAGCCACATGTAAGCATAATTTAATGAAGTCAGCATGCATTTGGAAAGGGATTTTCTTGAAAGAGAAACACACACACAAAAAAATCTTTCCTCTTTTAGTATTACTTTAAGGAACTGGAAGAACAAAAGAGAGTAGGAGAATGCCAATTTCAGATAAGGCTGGGCTGTTCTTCTACAAACATGGTAATACTCTATTTCCTATTCTTTCAGCATTTGCACATCTGCCTGTTTTGATGCAACACTTGGCTAATAACTACAAACACTGGAAAACACTGGATGATTTGAAGTGCAAGAGTCTCAGGCTCCCATCAGAAAACAACAACTGATACTCAGTCAAGAAAACCAGACCTCTTGCTCTACCAGTTTCACTGTGAATCACTTACAGAAACTCTTGGCTACAAAGGGGATTAATGTTGCTTTTCCAGTGAAATTAAGACTGTGTGACAAGAAGGAAATATTTTACTCATTTTTAAGCTTCTATGAATTCTACAGAAAAATGTTTTTAGAGGCTATAGAAACCACAGATGACTAAGTGCTCTTCGGAAATAATATTTTGTGGCAGAAAATGTACTTCTGAAACGAGTTTCTAATACTGAATATGCACTTGTTGAATCTTGTAGTTGATACGACTGTATTCACTAATGCTTCACACAATTGTTTTTCAGAGAGAGGGGTAATCTGGTCACCAGGAGAGTAAGAATAGCCTAACAAATAAGGATAGAAACTTCTCACTTACCTGGCATAAATTTCTTCAGCTCTGTGAACCATACTTCTAAAGAGAACAGGCACAGCAAAACAAGTAAATCCTAATAAATTGAATACATTAAAAAAATCCAAACATGACACCTTTTAAAACACCTTCTTATTAAAAAGGAGACGCTCTCAGAGCACCACCTGTTCTTTCTTTTCCATATCAAATCTTGGTACAAGTCAATGTTCTCTAAAACTGATCATATAATACAGGAAAATAAGCATGTTCTGTCTAGGTAGTGCCATCCACATGGTTCTCTGCCATCTTGCAGATGTTATCACACAAGTTTTCACCAAATTTTACACAAAAAAAAACTATTGTGGCACTTGATCACCATACTTTTTTATAAAAATGGTGTTTGTAAACATAGTCATCACTTTTATTAAACTGATCTAAATTTTATGGCAAGTTCATTTATTATGCTACTTCTAGGATGAACCTATCACTTTTTAAAAAAAGTTTCCAGGCTATAATTTATAAAAGCATTATAATTTGTACTGCTTTAGCCTCCTAATAAAATGCTGACTGGTTTTGTGATGTAAGAAGTACTTCGAAATAAGTATATCAGTTGGAAATCAAACATAGTTCTTCATTAGTTCTAAGATATGAAATTTACGCTAAGGCTTTCAAAGCACAAATGTGTATTTTTTACACCTCATTTTAATCACATGCAGAACATGAGTTTAAATTTTAGACTATTCTCAGACTATTCAGTAAATAAATACTAGCAGAACTGCTGATTTTTAACACTGTGCATTCCAGGCTGCAAGCAAGACTGTCAAAGCTGTGGCTGCAGTTAAAGAAGCAGTCCACCTACCCTGTGCTGTATCAAAAATCAAACTGGATAAAGGAAAAGGGGAAAAAAAAAAGCAAACAGCATAGATTGCTATGGAAGAATAGTGACAATGCTGTTTACTGCAGGTAGCTTACATATGTGCCAACCTTTTTTGTATGTTTTGTACCAAGTTCTGAAACAAAAGGCAACATTCATAAAATGTATGTGCAGAAGAATGTATAGAAGCTATATTTTTGTTAGAATTGTAACAGATCCTTACTTTTGTCATAGCCAAGGCAGGTTGCTGTGTATTAAAATGCCGCATCGTGTATATTTGACAAATGGTGTTTCTGGTGAAGCATGGTTATTCATTCTTTCCTATTATCTATAGCAACATTGTACAGTGGATTTTTATTCAGAGAAGTTGAACCTCTTTTTTAATACTGGATAGTGTTTGCTTTTACCATTTCTTTATTTAGAATTAGTGCTCTTGGTGGTTGTACCTGAACTATTCTGAACTGAACACTCACTGCAGCTTGCATTAGAGAAAAGAATTTCCCAAGATTTAAGCTTTGTTAATTTAACTTGTTAAATATAGCAACATTGTAAGACCACATCCATGTAAAACATTTAATTCATAATTTTTGTCACACTTCTGTCACACAGAACAAAATGTCAACAGTGGAAGACATCAAAAAAATAAAGTTCTACTTGTGAACCAGAACTGAGGCCAAGGCATGAATACAGAATCAATATATTTGTTGCAGGATCTTGCATTTCTTCCCACAGTGAGATTAACAAAAAAAAAAAAAAAAATTGCATGGATATAGGTCTTCTTTAATAGCAAAACAAAACAGTACAGATTAATCATAATCTGCCAGTTGTGTCGGATCTCCTGGACTAGTCCAGTTTGCTAACAGCTGCTTGTTTCATGCTGTTGTCAGTGCACAGATGTAAAAACAGCCACCTCAGAGTTGTAAAAGTATAAAGAGTAGGTCTGACAAAGATATTTACTTCCATGATGTGAACATAAGGAATTCAGTGTTACTGCAAGGTGGAACAATGTTTAGGGCATCAGTTAGATGTACGAGTTTCATCTGGTCACCATAATTCTGCTCACTGTATCTCCCAACAGCAAGTGACAAACTCTCATTTAAGAAAGGAGTAGGATATGTTCTCTGTTACACTCAAAGTTCATTTGTAACACAAAGAACTCAGTACTTTTAAGTCAACCTTATTTAAAATAAGAGACCCTTGGGAGATCTAATGCCAATGGAGTGTATCTGAGAACAACTGGCACTTCTGATAAATATAAATATTTATACATGCATGTAGGACTATTTAAAGCTGAATTACATGTCTGTAAAATGCATAGCGACTTTTGTGACTAGAACTGTTCAGTTAAAAAGGTCTATTTCTCTACCAGGTATTCTCTCAACAGCAGTCAAATAAAAAGGAAATAGCTGTTCTCATGCTATAAGAAGAGATAATAAAAATACAACCTTCCTTCTCTCTAGTTATAACTGATGATAGCAGGAGGCTCGCCAAAAAACCTAAGTTGCATAAACTTTCACTGTAAAGGTGTTGTAACAATGTGTACACACAAGCACTATATACTACCAAATAGTTATTTTGCAATTAAAACAAGGAAAACGATCCAAAGAGACATTTTATCTCCCCAGCTTCTCCTGGGTAAGCCAAAAATGCAACATCTGGTGAAGAAGACAAGCTGAAGCAATGTAGACTTAACATGCTTTCCTCTCTCAAGTTTAGTATCATATACCCAAAGGCATGTTATCCTCAGCTGTAATCCACATGCCTTTCCTACATGATTCAACAAAATAGTCAGCCTTAGCAAAGAACAAGCAGCTCAAGCTTTAACACTGATTTAACCTCCCTGAATTGAAAGGAGATGGTAATTTAACAATTCCTCCATCTGTTTTGTGGTTTTGAAATACGTTATTTTGAGCTCTATACTCAAGTAAGATTAGCTGTACAACCTAAGGTAGGGAAAAATTACAACTCAAAATCTTACTGCCCCTCTGCCCTGCATTCCAGAGAAGATTACAGTCTCGTAATAAGACTCAAGAGGCAAAGGTGGGCTTCTGAGTGGTGGGAGAAAGGAAAGTGCCCACTGCTGCTGGGGGAAGCAAGTCTAAAAGGCTCTTTGGTTTCTTCTAGGAAGCTAGGAGCTTTCTCTTTTGCTTCTGCTCTTGCAAGAATCTGCTTAACCCTTTGTTTTAATCGCACTAACTGCAACCACTGTATCTGAAGTCTGGAATTACAGCCATGTAGTTTCCTGTACTGAAAACAATTCTCATTGATTCCAAGGGAAGACACAGCACTGAAAAGTTGCACAAGATTTATTCCTATACCATTTAAGTGCTGTATCTTCTGAGTGAACCTGAGTAGCACCCTCTTCTACATAGTTTTATGACCACTAAGTTCCCAAACTTTCCCTTTTTCCAAGCTCTTCTCTGTTCAAATGGTAATGTACCACTCATTATCTTGTCCTCCCTCATGCTCTCTTTGTATAAGTTCTGGGTTTAACTTGGTTTCATTTTTTGGTTTTTTGTCATTGGCAGGGAGTGGGGAGAGGGGATTATTTGCTTGTTTGTCTGTCAATTAGTTTTTTGCTTTTGTGTCTTTGTTGTTGTGGTTTGAGCTTTATGTTTTAGTTCGCATTTCTTTCCCTACTCCTGTTTAGCTGCTGTTATCACAGACTCTTAGTACCTGTGTACTTAGCTACTTATTTTTTTAACCCTGAAATACTATTTACTTTACAAACTCGGTGCAGATTTCTCTGAAGCCAGACTTCAGTTGAGAATTTACAATTCATATGGCAAAACACAGTTTCACTACTATTGAAATATCAAATCCTACTGCTTAAAAAAGGATTTTACATTCTGAAAATTCATGGTAAGAAAAATGCTCTTTATTAGATACAATTTAATTTGATGAAAGCACTATGGAAAGACCAAGCTAAACTAATCACACTGCACACTAAACTTGGTAATGGTGTAATGGTAATGCTGTATTAACTCCAGTAATGTAGGCTAATCCAAGTAAAACTGCAGCTACTACTACTATAAACAGTTTCTGTATACGCCAGTTTGCCAAAATTTAGAACCTGACAAACTGGCATTACCTACCTTTTTTCTCTTTCTCACCATTGGTGCAGGATATTAACTTCAAATGCAAAATTTCTATTTGACAATGCTTTCTTTCACGGCTTTCTGTATACACACAAATCTGAGCCATCAGTGAGGAAAGTTCAGCTTCTAGAAATACATTACATAGAGCAGGAAGCTGCATATTTATTCCCATCCTTTCTTCCTGCACATAGCTCTGTGGATACTCTCAACTGCTTTAATTATGATCCATCTAACGTATTTCACAATTTCTTAATTTTGACATTCACCCGTGATAATTTTAAACATTTGGAATAATATTAGAAACTATTTAATGAGTCATCATTACCTTCAGTCTTTCAAGAGAACGCCATTTCTGCGGACAGAGTGTTACAAAATGCAAAATCCCCCTTTGAGAACAGTAGCAACTAAGAGAAGTTCCAATATAACACATGACATTAAGTGTAAGCCCTACTAGTAGTCAGATTCCCAGATTTTTTACACTCATGTTTAAAACACATCCAGTTTACATATATACAGCCTGTATTCAAACAATTTAAAGTCTGAGCTGCAAATCACCATTTTGTGCCAATTTTTTAAATAGTGTTAAACTGCGGAGGCTAGATTCTCGTTCACCATCCTTCCACAAAATAATGAGGTGGTCAGCAGAGCATGTAGCCAATCCCAGTTCACCAAAGTACAGGAACATCTGCAATGAAACAACTATTATTACCATGATGCTTGCATGAGATGGTCAGCTTGCTTAATTATTTAGTGTATAGCTGGACTAAACAAACATATGTATCTGAAATGGCTCTGCTTATAAACAGGAATAAGAAATTACATACTGTATGTTAGAAATGCCATAAAATTGCTACACAAAAACAAACTCTTTAGTCACTTCATACAGAAAGATCTCTGTCTAAAAAAAGCAGTGAAGCCTTACAGATAGGGAATTTAAAGGACAGAATTCTGAAGAAACTTGTTTCAAGTCAGCAGTAGAAGAGTGACTTGCATGAACTCTGATCTGGTTTATTGGGAACAGAAGTGTTCTTTTCACAGGGTACACTGTCCTCCCTCCCCCCTATAAAACAGTAGAGTACTAGCAGCAGGCCTGGAAAGATCAAAGGACAAACAGCTGTGACAGACACATGCCTAGTCACAGAGAGAAAGTCAAACAAGCAAGAAACACAATACTGGAGGGAAGTACAGCACCAGAGGAAGGATTTTGCAACACCAATGAAGCTGACAAATCATGAGTTAACCCCTGACCTCTGAGATGTTCACAAGACTGCCTAAAATTAACCACTAACTGCAGCTCAACATGACAGCCAATTGAACCAGTGATGTCACTATGGCACGCTCACAATGCCCTAATTCTTCAGTTTGTTAAAGGGATCTGTCTGGGGGAAGCCAAAAGGCAAAAGCCTACCTGCCCTGGGAGCAGTAACCTAATAGCTATAGGGTTACAGTAGACATAGTCTGTGAAGTCTTCATCTTGGCCATCACATTTCATCACTACTCAACATTTTCTTCCTCAACAGCTCCCATCTTCCCAGATTTTAAAAAACCCAAAAATTTTCCATATGTAGAACATTGCAGGAAATCACATCCACCATCATCTCCATTACTCCTTTGCTGTGCATCTCAGCCAAGACCCAACGTAAGCCTCTCACCTTCTTTGTGTCTCTTGCTGAATTATATACACTATGTCCTCTTGCTTAGATAGCAACCTTCCAAGTGGGTAAGCCCCCCTCCAACAGTTTTTCAAAAGAAGGATGACAGAAAGGGAAAGAGAGCCTTGAAGAAATCCCTTTAGCAGGAAGGTTCACCTTAGCTATTAAAGAAAAGCTTTCAGGTTTTAGCAGCAGCAGTCTGAAATCCAGTCTGTCTCATGAATGCTTGTGAGCAAAGCTACTCCAGAACCACACCACCTCCTTTTAGCTGCCCTTCCCCCTGCTCCTGCCAAGAATGTATATAGAAGTCCACTGTAACTAAGTGCTTCATTACACCAATACCTTGTGACAGAAAAGTGTGGAGGGAAAATGCCATTTAATATGAACACACACTATTTTAGGCAGACAGAAGCATGGAATAATACTGGTTGTAGTGCTTAAGTTAAGACCTCCTTAATGCTCACAGCACAGAGGGCTAAGAAATTACTCCGTGTATTTTGGTTTGGGTTTTTTTTGTAGGAGCCCTTCTTTAGACTGTGAACTTCACATGAAATCTGGGTCATGTACACAGTTCCCAGTTGTACTGTCTGCAGTCTCTAAATGAAGCCAAATAGTCTGTCAGATTATCTCTAGCATTTATGTGCAAACACTGTCCCCAGGCATCAGTGAGCAAGTTGTCATTAGAATATTAAGTCAGTGTGTATTACTGTTTTCACACTGCACTAAAGATATCACAAAACGTGCTCCCAGCCTCCAGAGCCAGGCGGTCAAAAGTTACAGTTCAAAAAACACTGTCAAATTTATGTTACTTACTAACATTCACTTTTTTTCATTCTTACTACAGCTGACCTACCTGCACAGCTGATGAATGACCAATCAAATCACCAACTAGCTCCAAGAAATACACAGGTGTATTTTCCTGCATCTTCTTAGCAGCTTGGTTTGCCTGCTTGTTTGCCCTTCCAAATCCCCACATGTTGAAAAACCCTGAGAGGTGGAAAAAAAAAATCTCTTATTTTGACAAAAATCACAAATACAATTTATTTCTTCTAGCTAAAGAGAGAGCTACAAAAGCCACATAAAATCTAAAAGCAGGACACTCTGTATGGCAAAGACAGAAGCACTGTACTGTGCAGCCCTTTAGCATCAGGATTATTCATCTTGAAGGAAGACGGAAACACAGCTACTTGTCCCACTTAATGTAATTTAGAAAACATGCTGAATTACACACTCCGATGAGACAACACACAGATTTAGGAACAAATACAAAGACTTCCTAAAAGAATGAACTGAACAGCAAAGGTAGATGCAGGACAAGTTTATGCAGGTGTTTATCTTTGCTCTGCCCACCTAAATTGTTATTTGTGCAAAGAGCACAAAAATGAAGTGCCAATTTCTCCTCTGTAAGTTCTGCACTACAGCATCTAAGTGCTGGCTCATAGCCTCCTTTCTTCAGCAAACCTATCAGCAGATGTGGAGTGTAAAGATAGTACTTCACATGTTCCATTTAGATTGCACAAAAGTACACAGCCACAGCCCCCAGAACTGTGTAACAGTACTGACACAAGTAAGGAGGTTGGGTTTTGTTGACAATGCAGTTCAGACTTTATTCCCAATCCTTCCCTCAGCCCTATCAGCACATAAAACTAGAATTGTGCTAAACCATGGCCCTGGTGCAAGGGAGATAACTGGTGAGACAAACAGCTTCTCAGGAGATGCCTAAAATAAAAAGAGTGCAAATCAACAGCAATATGTCCCTAAGGTTTTTTTCCAAACATCTTGATTCATAGAAGCTATAAATTTCTAATGAACCAAATACCACTTGTCACTATGTAGATCAGCCTGTAACCAGCAATGCTGAAGACGGAATATTCCTGAAAAACTGTTTCTAAATCAACCCAGACGGCAAAAATACATTTTCAAAAGTTACCAACAAGAGATGAATAGCTAGGTAAACAAGATACATCAGGAAAATTATTCACACCTTGAATAAAAAAATTCCTACAGAAGAGCAACAGTCTGTTGCTTTTCCCAGTCCTTGATATGAACTATATTGTCCAGAGCACCTGTCAAAGACCACAACAGCCAGTGTGCAGGGGAGCCTGGTCAAAGAGTAGCAAGCACTACAAAACAACTGTCATTACTCAAGCATAAGCAGGAAATACACAGGAGATGGAAGCAGAGTCAGACCATTTGAAATTAATATAGAGAAGCTGTAAGAGTAAGTAAACATGATACAAGGAATACCAAGACCCATCTGGAATTAAAACTGGCCAAGGGTGTCAAAGACAACAAGAAGGGCTTCAAACACATTAAGAACAAAATTAAAACTAAGGATAATGTGGGCATGTTCCTAAGTGGACGGAGGGACCCTGTAGACCAGAATGCAGAGAAGTCAGGTACTGTACTTCGCTTCAGAGAAGTGACTGTTCTGGTCGCCTCAGTATCCTCTGACCCAGGAGAGCAGGGTAAAGTAATGCTGGAAGGAAGACACCCTTGGTCAAGGAGGATTACGTTAGAAGCCATCTAGGCAAACCTGATATTCACAAATCCATAGGTCCTGAGTGGATGCATCCACGAGTGCTCAGAGAGCTGGTGGACACCATTGCAAGGCTCCTCATGATCATCTTTAAAAGGTTATGGAGATCAGGAGAGGCACTGAGGACTGGAAGAAAGCAAATGTCACCCTGGTCTTCAAAAGGGGCAAGAAGGAGAACCTCAGAAACTACCAGCCAGTCAGCCTCACCTCAATCCCTGGGAAAGTGATGGAACACTTCATTCTGGAGACCATCTCTATCTACATGAATGACAGGATGATGATCAGGAACAGGCAGCATGGGTTCAAGAAAGGAAAGTCATGTTTGACCAGCCTAATTGCCTTCTACAATAAAATAATTACTTGGATGGATGAGGGGAAAGTAGCGGATATTGTCTACTTGACTTCAGCAGGGATTTCAACACTGTGTCTCACAACATCCTCATAGACAAACTCAGGGATGCAGGCTGGACGAGTAGACAATGAGGTGGATCGAGAACTGGCTGAACAACAGATCCCAGAGGGTTAAAACTCAGAGACCTGTCACTGGTGCTGTCTCCCAGAGTTCATGACTGGGCCCAGAACTATTTAACTTGTTCATCTGTGACTTGTAAAAGGTGGAATGTGCCTCCTCAGCAAATTCACTGAGAACACAAAGCTGGGAGGAATGGCAAACACTCTGGAGTGCTGTGAAGCCCTTCAGGGACCACGGCAGGTTGGAGAGATGGGCAGAGAAGAACCATCTGAAAGTCAACAAAGGCAAATGAAGGGTCCTGTACCTGGGGAGGAAGAGCCTCAGGCACCTGGGGCTGACCTGCTGGGAAGCAGTTCTGCAGAGAAGGACCTGCAGGTCCTGGTGGACAACAAGCTGTCCATGAGCCAGCAGCGTGTCCTCGTGACCAAGAATGCCAATGGTATCCTGGGGGGCATTAGGAAGAACATTGCCAGCAGGTCATGGAAGGTGATCCTGCGCCTGTACTCAGCCCTAGCAAGGTCTCCCCAGGAGTGCTGTGTCCAGTTCTGGACTCCTCAGGAAAAGCAAGCAGGTCAAGCAGAAGGCTGCAAAAAAAATGAGAGGACTGGAGCATCTGGATAGGCTGAGGACACTGGGCCTGATCAGCCTTGAGAGGGAACCTCATCAATGTCTATCAGTATCTGAAGGGAGGTATCAAGACAATGGACCATGCTTTTCTCAGAGGCGCTAAGTAGTAGGACAAGAGGCAATGGGCAGACAATGACACACAGGAAGTTCCACCTGAATAAGAGGAAGAACTTCTTTACTGTATGGATGACTGAACACCAGAACAGGTTGCCCAGAGGTTGTGGAGTCTCTCTCGCTGGGAATACTCTAGAACCATATGGACACAATCCTGTGCCATGTGCTCCAGGATCACCCTGTTTGAGCAGGGAGGCTGGACCACATGACTCACTGTAGAACCTTTCAACCTTATCCATTCTACGATTCTGTGAATGTACTTGGAAAAATGCTCCCTGTAACACAATCAACTAGTTCTGAGGACTGCAGAGCCCAGAGGCAGTATGTGAGTTTGGATACAGCTCCAAACTAAGCCCCAATATAATTGCAAGTCCAAAGAGGAGATGTGGAAAACACTTTTTTTTGCTGCCAGCTGCTTATCTGCAAGCTTTTGTCACAAGGTCCTGCAACTATTTACTCATGTATGGTATAGAAATCAGTACTGTTTGGTACAAGGAGGAAAGGATGAAGGTTTGTCAGGTCTTTTTTTTTTTTTTTTAAATCGGCTCATACAACTGTAAACTGTAAGTAAGCTTGATGGCACAGAATTGCTTCAGCTGGACCTTCTATCACCCCATATCAGGTCTTGGAGGACTTGAACACCCACGCTCTCTTCAGTTTCCCTCCCGCTCCTGTAATCAGTTAAACACAAGACATTATCTCTCTTTACAAAGCCTGAAACCTCTCTACTCCTATATGGTGGATACTGGATTTTTAAATGCTCCTTTCACTCCCCACTAGTAGCAAACCTGTCGGAACTGGTTCAGCTGGCAGCTGCTGCTTTTCTCTGAGTTCCCAAATGCGCACACTGCCATCTTCTGAACAGGAGATCAGCTGCCTGTAAAAACAGTTGATAAGCAACACTAGCATGGATACTTACCTGTGCAAATCACCTTGTGATGCTTCTATGAAAGAGACAGTAAGTGCCTCAGGTTCCACACAAGTTTACTAGAACTCTTAAATGTAGCAGGGTGTACAGAGGTTCCACAGAAAATAAAATTCATTAGTAGCAGAACAAAGTATAACAGACATTTGGAATAAGTGGAATAAAATAGACCTTTTCAACTCCATATTAAAAGCATACCACTATGTAAACCAAAACACAACCAGTCTAGACTCTGCAAACACAGTTCCTCTAACTGGTTTCTGTAAGTTTACTTTCATTAAGCAAAACCATATTTTTTCTTACAGAAAAATTATGAAAGGAAAGGTACTCTGTTTCATTACATGTTTAGAACAGCTTAGAATACATGCATTTACAAGACCAAAGCCTCAGTTTTTATCTTATGGCAGATTTTGCCCCATTGAACAAGAACATAATGGGATCTAATACTGTTATCTATAGTATATTAGAGCATATACATATATATGCAGCAACTTGTCCTAGTTGGCTGTCAAAACAAGTTCCAGCTAGAAACTCTGCCATAAGAAACAAAAACTGCAAGTTATTAATTTTTGTTAAAATATTTCAAGTGTTATAAAATATTTAATAGAAAATATATTCACAATATGCTATATGCCTTTGCTTTCTAGAAGTAAAATGCCATTAAGCTATATTTTCACAATACAGACAAAAGTGCTTCATCGAATCTGATTCTAAAAATAGCTGAAATATTTTCAGCCTGTGTACTAGTCATACCGGAATACAGTTTTTCCCACTGAATTACAATGACAAATTTTCCAAAATCAGATCAACAAGCTCTAACTAATAAAAGCAGCTCAAACTGAAAATAAAGTCCCTGCCCTAGAAATCCAATGTAGCTTTGCAGTCTGTCTCTAGTCACCCTTTCAAGTTTTGCTTTTCTTTATTGCATTAACAAAATGCACCATGTTTTTTGTACCTGTTTGGAAGCTTCTCAATGTGCAGCACAGAGGAGTCGTGAGCAGTTCTCTGGCAGGCAATCACACGCTTCATTTGAAGATTATATACGTATATGCCTTTCCCAACAGCAGCAAACACACACTGGAAAGAAAATTCAATAGGACAACTTACAGAAACAGATACTGAAGGATCACCTTGCATATAATGGATTTCCAATGATACTGTGACCTACCTTGTTTCTGTCCTCATGTTACTGCTTTATCCCAAACATATGAAATTAGCAAGTTATAAAAAGAGATGGATTTTTTAAAAGTAAATGTGGGATATGATCCTATATTCTAAGCAGTAATTTTATGTCTGTATTTTTATCCTGTTCCTCACAGTCTAAGCAGAAACTAAGGATATCAACCAATCAATACAGTTCTGTAATTAAATGCTTATGTTCTTACAGGAAAACAATGCCCCATGTTTTGAAAATTTATCAAGAAATACTAATATTTATTTCATGTTTTGAAAGTTTATCAAGAAAAACTAATATTTATTGTTAACTGAAGATAGAGATGGATAAAGAGACCTTGCTCAAGCATTTGAGCTCTACTGAATTCAGAAAAGGAACTCTCTTATAGTGAAGTATTACACAATTCTGCATTTTGCATTCAATGCTCTTCTTTAAAAGACTGCAGGCATTCCATCTCATAATCATCATGACCCTAAGACACCAGAAACAGTTTACAGGTCTTTGGACCTGGACCACTTCATGTCTTTTGATGAACTTAAAGAGGACAAGTGTACAATACCATGTATGTACACATGATTAATATTCAGCACCAGAGGAGTGCAAAATGTTTCCATTCAGTACTCATTTGCAGTTTTGAACATGCCTTGTTTACATGACAGTGTTCTGGAACATTTCCCTGAACAGCCAGCTTCCATTTACACAATCCAAACATTAATATCTCATATACAATTCACACTACATGTCTGTCAACATTTTGTACAACTTGTAGCCCAGGGTCTTTTGACTAAAGTTTCCTATATATATTCATCAATGTTTTGACATTGTTGAAAACTCTTCATTCAGGTTTTTATTCTTTTTTTCCCTTTATGTGTATCTGTTGTGGGAGCACTGAAACGGAATAGATTTCTGATACCACCATTACCAAATCAATACAAAAAAACAAACCACTAAGCCCATTATCCTAGTTTTGCATAACGTTCAAATGCAATGACTTTCCACATAACTCTTCCACCTTGATCCACACAATCTTACAGCTTTGCAAAAGATGCTCTTCATGGAGCACTCTTCTTTGTTCACAAGCCCTGGCAAAATCCTGGTCATCTCAAAATCCAAGAAAATAAAACATATGAAGCATAAAAGGTACAGTTCTATTAAAAGGCAAGCCAAACACACATACGGGGACAGCAGATGTACTCCTTCACACTGTTTCCTAGTTTTGAAAACCTTTACCATCCCATTTGTTTCTAAATCATGTTTTGCCTACAAACTCAGTGTCAAACTAGACAAGTTTATCTTCTCCAACTACCTAACTACCAAGTCTGGAAAACAGAGCAAACATATATTTTACACTATTTTTTAACATGAAGAGTACTGCTCTGCTATTTGAGATAGCACATAACAAAATAATATCTTAGACAAATATATTTCTGCACCACACTTAAGAAGATCCTTAAGAAGCTTTACAATACAGACAGCACTACCTTAAAAGCACCTTCTGTTTTGGTATGTAACACCAGAACCACCTTTTCTTCCCATCATTCAAAACTCTCACAATGAGAAAAAAAAAAAAAATCACAGCTATTTATTTAGTTCAGTTCCATGAATGGAAGACAGCAGCCCCAGATTCCACATTGAGTGTTTTGAAAACTTCTGTCCTTCCTCAAATTCTTTCCCACTCCCTTAAAAGACATCATATGTAGCTTTCAAGTATGGAATCAGGGTGTTTTGAAGCCAAATTACAGAACTAATCCTAAATAAAATTAATTTTTGGCTCATTGTAGAAATAAGCACTGACAACAAAACCGCTGGATATCCCACCTTTAAGGGCAACCATATATTTTTTAGCCCCCCACACCGTACAGTACTTCTCTCTCCAGAGTTTTAGGAAAGTTCTATTCAGAAAGAGGCAAATGCATCAGGCATTACCCTATATTCAGGCTTTTCCACAGCTTTTATTTTGTTGCAGCTTATATATCTGAATCCATTTCCAAGAATCTCTTTCTTAATCATTCTCAGTAATGCCCCAAACAAAATCCCACTGTACCTCAACAATGAAAGATCTTTTATTTTGCCACATTTAATTTTGTGAAATGTTGGTAACATTTCACAAAATTAAATACCAACCTGAGTATTTTTAGTGTTTGCTGTACAATAAATGAGTTCTAACTGAGTGTTCTGACCAAGAACTTATCTCTAAAGCATGACTATAGTAGACAGGATCTTGGAAACATTTGAGTATACAATTCTGTACAGTCCACCTGAACAGAAAGAGCAATACTGATATACTACTAAGCATAGACATATGCCTGCTCTTAAATAGTACCCCACAGTATTCTCACAGTAACCTCAGTTGTAACTGCTCAAACAGGTGCATTACTGGGAAAACTGTATTTCCAGAAGCTGGAATACAAAAGATGCATACCATCAAAACACACACCCATATTTACTTTTCTCTAGTGGTATTTTAAACAAGTAATAAATCTTTGTTAGTCAAAAAGAAATGCTGTTGTGACAGTCCATCATGTTAGTTTCCATACCATCAACATATTAAACCCTTCATAGAGGTCAACAGCCAATATTTTACATAAAAACCACTGACCATGTAAAATAGCTGTGCACATTTAAAAGAAGCCTCTCATATTATAACAAGGAAACTGAAAACATAAACCATTCAGTCTTCTGTGGTAAGATCATCCTAGCTTACTTAAAGCTATTTACTCTGAAGCTTTTTACCTCCTCATCAGATGTTAAGTGTTGAACTGAAGTTTCATGTGGGCTTTGGGATAACTTAATTTCTGGTTGTACATCTGGATGGACAGAGGAGTCCCAGAAGTTGCACTCAGATGCCTGCTTTGTCCAGTCAAGTGCATCCCAAACTATTAACTCACCTATGTGAGAACCTGTCACAAAAGTCAAATCTGAAGGGGAAGAAAAACACACATAGAAATCACATTATATTTAAAAAAATAAATTTCACACAATAAATTTCCATAGAAAGGGAAGACAGCCCATTTGTTTAAAGCTATGTAGAATGTGCAAAGCATAACTGACTGGCCAATACTGGACAATTGAGTAAATACTCATCTAATTATCTAACATAGTTCAGACAAGTGCTTATGTAAAATTAGAATTAAGAAGGAGAACATTCACTGGTCACAGTACACAGCAACAGAGTTGCAAAGGCAAGGAACATCACCGGAAGTGTGTATAAATATTTGAACTTCATTTCTACATACAAAGCCCTTCTATTCCTTGGAGAAGCACACCCCAACATCCCCCACACAAACAAAGTATGTCTTTGCCATAAATAGAAATATTGATCACAAATTAAATGAATGAGTTAATGGCAATACTGAAGTATCTGCCCATGACTTTGTTTATCACATGTAGAAAGGAACTTCTACGACAGTATTTGATGCAGGTAGCATCTTGTCTTTTTTAAGCCAAACACTGCTTGCCTTTCATATTCAAAAAGGAAAAAATAATGGCAACAGTTAAGCTCAGAAACATGTACCATAGAATCCAAGTTTTCTTTTTTCCAGCCTCTTGCTACCTCTGTAACAGCCCCTTTGTGCCAGCCAGGCAGACACAGATACACCCAAGGATAAATACACACTCTCTATCCCACCAGTAATACCTTTTCCTGGCTATGGGGTTGCGCCATAAAAAACAAAAACAATTAAAAAAAAAAAAAAGAGAGAGACAGGGAAGAAAAGAGTAGAAAGGTCTGATACTTGCAGCAGAGCAGACAGAATTTCAGGTATTAGTTCAGGATTACCCTATTACCCTAATGAGCAGCATAGATCATATCAGCTTCCAGATCCTCTCTATAGAGGATCTATACGCAGGCTTACATCTGCACATTCAGAATCTCCAGTTATCTTAGGACTCCAACTGCAAGGGACGTGGCATTGCATATCCCATTTTAAGAATAAGAAGGAACAAGACAAAAAAAGTAGCATTTTTAACTTTCACAACAGAAAGACCAAGAGTTCCATTTCCATCAATGACATTGACTCTTCTACATTACAACTCACATGGTTTCATTTCATTGTTTATCCATAAACAAAGGAATTATATTTTGTCATATCACTATCTTTGCAGCTATGCAAAAGGTACTTCCACTAGTTACTAATTTTCATTCCAGTTAAAACTTTGGTTCAAGTAAAAACTCCATAGGTGAAATATCCTACTGGTAATTAACAAAACCAGTAATATTATAAAATTGCTCTTACCATTAACACTGACTAATGATGAAATGTTATCCTGATGGTCAACAAGGCGCTTTACTTCAAGGATATTCCAACCTTCAGACCCATTGTTAGAAGAACTCAGCCTAAAAATTACTTCAAAGATAGAAAAATTGTCTAAATGAGCTTTTTCATTTGGAATAAGATGGAGCTATGTCTACATAAAACAACATTTTCAGAGTCACAAATTAAAGATACTAAGTGAGACTATGTAAGAGCCACTTATGATCACTCATAACATCAAAAAACAGGAAGCACTTATTTCAGCATTACCATTAAGGCCTCATAACAACAGTAAATATAGGATAAAACACTTCAGCCTAGTAACTGAAATTCAGAGAACTGGTCAGAAGTGAAAAGTATCAGACACCTTTATGGATAAGTTACTAAAAGTGGAACATGTTTCTTGAGGACTCATCTATCTGAAACATTAATATTCAAAAACAATGCAATATCCTCTGGTAAGGCAATCAATATTATCAGAAATCAAGACTTTATTTTAATCAGTCTTGGAATTTCTTTTCTGTCTCAAGGGTACTATAAAAGCTACTCATGATAGCTTTGGATAGTTAGAGATCATCAATACTTCATACCTCACATCCCAGGATAAGAAGGCTCTAGAGAATCTGAGTATCTGACAGCTCAAGTAAGCAATTCCAGACCTTCTCCAGAAGAACAAATGTCAATTGCAATAATCAGATCTGGAGAGGTGACACTAACACTGAGGGAGTTGACAGAAGAGCTCACCAAGCCAATCTCTGTCATTTACCATAGTTCTCGTATACCAGGAAGGTCCCAGTCAAATAGAGGTTGGCTAATGCGATGCCCATCTACACAACTGGTTGTAGGAAGGATTGACCACAGGCCTGTCAGCCTAACCCCAGTGCCATGTAAAGTGATGAAACAAATTATCTTGAGTGTGATCACACAGTGCATACAGGACAACCAGTGAATCAGGCCCAGACAACATGGGTTTAAGACAGGTCCTGCTTGACCAACATGAGCCACTGGGTGTCAAGGTGGCCAAGAAGGCCAGTGGCATCCTGGTCTGTATCAGCAACAATGTGGCCAGCAGGACCAGGGTAGTGATTGTCCCCTTGTACTCCACACTGATGAGGCCACAACAGCCACTTGAGGCAACACCTCAAGTTCTGTGTTCAGTTCTGGGTCCCTCATGACAAGAAAGACATTTGAGGTGCTGGAGTGTGTCCAAAGAACACCAACAGAGTTGGTTAAGGGTCTGGCGTACAAGTCTTATGACAAGAGAGCTTGGGTTGTTTAGCATGGAGTAAAGGGAGACCTTATCACTTCCTACAGCTACCTGAGAGGAGGTTGTAGTGGGCAAAGTGGGCATTAGCCTCTCCTCACAGGCCACAAGTCACAGGAGAAAAGGAAATGGCCTCAAGCTGTTCAAGGGAAGGTTCAGGTTGGACATCAGGAAGAATCTCTTCACTGAAAGGGTGGTTAGACATTGGAATGGGTTGCCCAGGGAGGAGTCAGCATCCCGGAAGGTGTTCAAGAAATGACTGGATATGGTACCTAGTTCTATGATAATTGGCATGATGGTGATTGGTCAAAGCCTAGACCCAATGATCTTGCGGGTCTTTACCAATCTTAGTGATTCTATGATTCTAAATATAGAAAAGTTTTGTTTTGCACGTCATACACATTTCCAAAAAATTATTAAGATTAGTATAGTCCCCTCTTTGTCAACGGTAAAAGAAAAAATGTTGCTGACCACACCCTAACACCATTTACTTTTTCTATACAATTCCAGCAGAGTGCTCTTCACACATATCTCTGTTAAGCAGCTGTTACGGAGGAACATGAACACCGGAAAATGCAAGATACTCACTTAGCTCTTTGCCAACTGCTGCGGCGACACAATTTTTGGGCAATTCAACCAAAGCACTGATGCCTTTGAAAAAAGGGGGAAAGGATATTAATTGATCACAAGAAAACACAACAAACTGCTAATTCCTTATTAATAAAGTTCTTAACAATTTTCTTTCCACTTCTCAAAACCAAAGTCTATTGCCTGAAGTTAAAGGCATCAGAAATGAACGGATTATCTCAAACAGAGGTCAGGAGTTTTGGTCCTGAATCAAGCAGAATTCTGAACATCAAACTTGTGGTGAAGCTGAAATTAAATTATCTTTTTATTTAAAATACAATTAAGATATTTATGTTCTAATGCTGGACAGTATTAAAAACACCATGACAATTATTGCAGCTCTAAATACAGGCAGTACCAAAATTATTAGATACTGATACTACCTCAAGTATGCACAATTCTAAAATAATGTACAGAGCAAGACAAAGAAGAATGAAGCATATGATAAAATACCCAGCTTGCTATCATCTGTTTTCATCCTGCACAGAACTTCCCCACCCTGTGCCAAAGAACCATTAGAGGAAAATTCCACAGGAATTTTCCCACAAAGGAAGTCAGAGATTAGGACAGAAGAGAGGGCCAGTGCCACACATTCCATTGATCCCTTGTACCGAAGTTTCAATAGCAGTTTATGCTAAGCATCACAGTCCAACTGGTATTTAGCATGATATTTCATACTGAACCAAAAGATGTATTAATATCCTCAAGGATTCAGAAGGCTTTGCCTACCACTACTTTATGACAAAAATAAGGCCAATATCAGTTCCACCTTTGAAGGTGATTCACAGCTTTGTAAGCATCTTGGTGAAGTACAGCAATAACATGCAAAATTTTCTTCACGTGGACAGATAATATAGAAGTTTATTAACAGAAAAGCATGATTGATAGTGATTTCTGATTATTATATTCCTACCAAAACATGCATTTTCTACATCAGAAGTACTGATTCTTAACAATAAAAAAGTAATCTTTACTGCTCTGCTATTAGAAAGCTTCACTTAATAGAAACATAATAAAACTCCCACTCAATCACACAAAAAGCCAGTCAAAGGATCTGGTACATGTTACAGCAAACACATAATTCAGCATCTGAGCTCTAGCCCTGTAGTCCAAGATAATATACAGTTATTGAGATCTGAGATATTCTAAAATTCACACAGCACAGAACATTAAAAGCGGTATTAGTTCGGAAACTATTAAATCTGACATTTAAAAAAATAAAGAGTGGCTCTAATACATAATGTTATCATTAGAATTAAAATTAATTTGCCAAGTTGGTTTTGCATCATTATACAGATCAATTTCGCTTGCACTTTAACAGCTATAATGAGTCATTTCCATTTTTACCTGCATCAGTAAGATGACTGGTCTTACACAAGAGATCTAATTTTCGGTTCCAAACACATAGATCACTCCCTCCAGACAACCATACATTCAGTCTTTGTAGAACTGTCAAACACTGCAGAACAAAAATCAGATATATGTCTCCTGCAAAAGTTCTTCAGGGAATTTCTCAGTGAAATGATCATGAGCTTTAGTTAAAAAAATCTGTAAGTACTATGAAATACAGTATCAAGGTCTCTGAGAAATACATATTTAATTACACACTAATATGTTAAATTTTTCACCAACAGTGCAAAAACTTTAAATGCTGTAGGTCGCCTTTTCCAACACAGTAATAAAACCAAGTCACAGCACTGCCTTTGATCTACCTCCTCTCAAAAAGAAAACCGAGGTATTAAGAGATCCAAAAACAAATTAAGAATTATGCCCACGTCTCAGCCATTCATTATGTACCTATTCTTAAATAAAACAATGCCATTCATTCTAACACACCTTCCCACATGACCCATGAGCCAGACAAAATAGCTTAATGTATAAAACAACAGACATTCACAGAGTTTCCTCAGTACCTTTACAGTAGAATGGAAACATGACACTTTCTGAACCTGCCTGCCACTAGTGCAGTCCCAAACCTGTCTTTATTCATTAAGGAAACTGAAAGGTTTCTATGTATCATAAATGTAAATGCTGTTTTGGTAACTAAATGACAGATTAGGAAAGGGGTATGCAGAGATTCAGTCTCTTAAACCCTGACAGTCATCTCAATATTTGGCCTAAATGATATATTCATAAAGGCCTGTTATAGATTGATTTTTTTTTGTGGCAAGGGCTGTATCTACATGTGAACAATAACTAGGGAAACTCCAATCTAATTACACCTAGTGGGTATTGGTAGCCATTAAGTTCTGAGATGGGCTGCAGCCAATTCTGAGATGACTGCAGATTGTCAGTGCTGTCTTTAGAAGTAAAAACCACAAGAAGCCTATAGACTTTTAAACTCTCCCCAGATCAAAGGATACAATAACGGTTCTATCAGCTGATGCTGTTATAATCAAATTTGTTTTTTCTTCAGTAACATCTGATGAAGAAAATGGTGCTATAGCTGTAATTTTGTGTGTGTGCCCATGAAGTTCATGAAGTTTTTCTCCAGTCTGAAAAAAAAACCCATGGAAAACTAAGGTTAAAATAGCAAAATGCCTACAGTAGTACAAATATAGGTATTAAATGACTTTTTAAAGCAAGAATTACTATGAGTCTAAAATCTCCCTTCCTAAAGAAATTTAAAGATTTTCTAGTTACTACCTTCATTACTGTCCAAGACCTTAAATTAAATAACATACTATGAGTTAGTTTAAAGAACATAATGCAAATCACTCTCTGAATAAAAAACCTCTAAAAGCCCTTAAGAACAAAATTCTGTATTAAATTCATTTAATTTTAAGGCAAATATTGGCTAATCATCCTTCTTTATAAATGCTACAGCAATTCAGGTTTGTTGACAAACACTTACTTGAAAATGTTTCTTTAAATTTTAACTATTGGAAAAACCTGACATATATTTATGGCCAACTTCCTGCCAGATTTATTTACTATGCACATTATATATAGATTCAAGCTTTAGACAACTACAGCTACTCTACTGACATTTTAGTTAAATGGCAAAACCCTACAAACAAACATGCAGAAGCAAACTGGCATTTTAAACATACAGCTAAAATACAGGGTAATTTTAAGTGCAAATTTCTTGACAGATGTGGATTAATGTTTTAAATTAAAAGTACAAAGATTTGCTTTAACAAACACAATAGAGGTACTACAGAAGTAGAAAATGAAACTCAGTTCATAAAACTGGATATCTAAATTAATTTTATGTTCACAAGCTGCTCAGAATACTGGGCATATATATTTACACAGGTGGGTTTTAACATTGAAATCCCTTTACTTTTCCAAATTATAGAATTATAAAATTATAAAAGGCTTTCAAAACCAGCAAAGCACTAGTGGAAATTGCCCAAAAGAAAAGTTTCAAGTCTCTCCTGACCATTACAAACATCACATAAATTTTTTCAGAATATTTTAGAGAAAATTTAAAGTCTGTGATTTTTTCTCCCTCAGCTGAATATCTGATACACTTCAAACTTCTCGCTAAATAATGTAACTCACATACTAGATTTCCTTAACCTACCTAATGCTCATTGCTTCTCTACAGTTTTGTCAATGATATGGAGAAAGAGAGCAGTAGAGCAAAACAGCAGGTGTCACACTTACAGAGCACCGTTTGTATGATAAAACTAATGTCTTATTAAGGTTTTCAAAAGTTGTAAGAAGGTTTTTACCACAGCAAGCAATTAAGGGTGTGTTCGTGCACAGCATGAAATGTTTAATTCGTACTGATTTTGGTATATTTTAAATACAATTCTGTGATAGCTCTCCATTAATCAGTCATACTAAAGAGGTATTACTAATAGAGTGACTGAAATGTATTTAAACCTTAAATGTATATAAAAATCCTGGCAAGTTTGGGATCGTGCTACATATTTGTTGAGTTACTAGTCAGCATTTCAGCATTTATGGCAAACACAGAACATACTTTCAGAGAGTAAATAAAGTCACAACTTCATACACACTTCTGCATTTAAACAGTAAAACATTTTCAAACATTAGCTCTGCATCAATTCTTATTTTTCCCACTTTTTTTTGCTCCTAGACATTTCCACCTCTTCTCTATAACTTCTACCCTGTCCAGAGTACACAAGCCACCCTAAAAGAGACAGCTAACCTGAGCATTCCACAGAAATATGATTCCATCATCTCCTGCAGATGCAAACCTGGGAAAAAACCAAACCAAACAAAGAACCATAACTAAGTGAAAACTTCAGTATAGCGTAATGCAATGGAAAAGCAGTAAATACTTATGGAAGTAAAAATGCTTATAAGATATATCAGATTCAGTCTTTAAAGAATAAACATGTATTTGTAAATCCTAATTACAGTTTCAAACTGAAATAGTATATTTAAATAGGTGATTATCAACATATACCTAATATAAGAACAAGACTTAAGAATTCCAATAGTTAAAAAAAAATGCCTTCATGGGTCATTTCGGTCTTTTCCAGTAATCATCACCATCATCTACAACCTTGTCTGTTTCCTGAAGGAGCAAGGGATGGTCAAATGATCAACAAAAAAATCTATTCTTAAAATGTATTACGAACTCTGTTTAATTTTATGTGTCAAAGGCTAGAGTATTACTTGCAATTTTATCTCAGTCCAGTTTTTGGAAGACTCTTGCTGAGGCTTAGCCTTCTTTAGTGATCTTCCAATCAATAAGAGCCTTACTTCATGTTTAAAAAGTACAAGAGCAAACAAGAAAAAAAAACCCAAAAAACCAACCAGCTTTCTGTTACATTCATAGAGGATTTATTTAGTATCTTCAAAAACCAATATGAGAAAATTTTCCACTCACTGGTTTTAGCGAAGGCACTGAGAAAACAAGAAAATCCTTCTGTAAAATTCTCACTAAGATGACATTATCTAAAGACCTGAAGCGTGAAACTTGACTTACAACAGTTGACAAAAAGCACACAATGGAATAGCTACAGAAACTAAACAAAAACATTTCAGAAGCTGAGTAACAATACTAGTCTTACTGAAAAGAATCAAGTGAAAAATATTATCATGTGTTTAAAATACCATATTCTTGATAAATAAAATTTAGAATTACTGCCAGTAACAACTGAAATAGTTCTATTAAACTCCTCAAACTCTCAGAATACTAACCAGCTACAGAATTCACTCATTATCCACATGCTATTTCATAACCTATCTTAAACATCACCACTGAGGCCTTAGTTTTAAAATGATTATCATTATTTTAGCTTTAGTAATTTACCTGCCACCAAATAACAAAGGCCAAAATGGTAAAAGACTTCTTTTATAAGACTGCATGTGCAAGCTAAGAATACTGTGGTGTTTCTACAAAGAAGAATTACACATATTCAGCTTACATTTGAGAAAAATGTACTTTGAAAACGTGTTATTTTGCTAACTTGTCTGGGGGGAAAAAAGACTGAAGAAACCACACAACATTCTTCCATTTTTATATGACTCTTCTGGTGGACTACTACACAGAAAAATAAATGTTGTAAGAAAGTATGTAAGTTTCCTGACATACATATATATATTTATGACATTTAAAATAAAAACCGACAAGGTAAAATCCTCCATGGAGTCTTCTGTGATATTTTATTTATGTATATATATATATATATATAGATAGATAGATAGATAGATAGATATATAATATTAGAAAATAAGAATCTGTGGGCATTTCTAGACCACCAGCATCTCTTCCAATCAATGTGCATGGGGAGGGAGAGAACCTTCCTTCATGAAACACCTGCTGTACACTGCAAGGATATAAAACAAACTCTTGACCAAGTTAACTTCATGCAGTGTATTGATGACTATATTAGAATTTCCCTTCTGTGTCTAATCTGTAAAATATATAAATTACTACAGCTCCTTAACAGAGCTAATCTTGTCTATTACTTATGTTCTTAGTCACTAAACATTTTCTATTTAATTCTCCACATCAGTCAAGAGTCACTACATTTTATGACTGAGTAAAGACTCCAAAACCTTACTTTTACGGCCAGAAAATTATTTCTTCTCTTGTAGAAGTACGTTAAAGAACATGCAAGTAAATTTAGAGAAAACTAGAAGAGAAACTAGGTTGTAATGTACCACTATCATAATTTATTCTCTCAGTCACACTTCTTAAGTGACAAAGGTAAATACAATTATTTCATCTTCTTAACTAGCTTTTTTAGATAACTGTTCTCAGAAGATAGATAACTCAGTCTTCAGAAGTTACAGATAGAGATTGTTAGGAAATATACAGAAAGGTGCATATAGCTGAAACCTGAAGGACAGAAACAAAGAAACTATCAGGTTTCAAAGAAGTATAGCAAGTTGAACCAGATCAAACTGGAAGAGACATGTAATGCAGAGGTTAAGTATATGTTGACTTTTGCGAAGTAGTCATTCTGAATAAAGTAGCTAAAAACTTTAAAACTTGCAAAGCTAAAAAAATTGCATTAACCAAAGCTCAAGTGAATTTAGCACTATAGCATCAAAAGAAAGTGCAACAAAAGATCAAAAAGAAAGGAAAAGCAACACTCATTGTTGAACATGTCATGTTCAATTCTACAGCACATCTGCAGGAGTCTACTACACTCTTTCATAGAACCAGAAGGTAAAACAACAGCTATCCTCAATTCAGAAACATAGAACATATGCATCCTGTCAGAACAGCAGCAGACGGTACTACATATTGTCCTGTGAGAATCTATGCACGTACAGAAGGCAGCACTGAGACCAGGAACTGACTGAAAAAGAACAGATGAATTAGCTGAAGGCAATTCTTACAAACAAATGAGTCTGTACTGAGAAATGTAACATTATCACCATTATTTTCTCATTAAAGTATGACTTAAAAGAGAAGCCAATAGATACAGTAACATAGCAAGAAAAGAGAGTATTCATGCCTTGACTTAACTCCAGTTTTTCCAGCTCTCACCCCCCAAAAGACAGGATTAAAATATTACTACATTTTTACAAACATATTGCCAAGGACATCGTGAAACAATTTGAAATGGCATTTCATACCTGTAATCATCTATTTGCACTAGAAATCGTACTATATCTTGATGGCCTTTCAACACAAGGAGCTCCGTGTAAGGATTCTGTATTTGTTCTTCACCAATTGTCTGTACAGAGGATTTCTAAAATTCATAAAAAAAGGAAGTAAATTTATTTGTACTAACATAATTATTTTCATCAGGTCTTTGTAATGTCTAACAATCTACATACAGACCCATGTGTAAAGTTTCTGAAATACCATTTTGCCTTAATGAAAATCATTATAAAATAGAATTTCCTGTTATTTCATGTAAATAATGGCTTTCTTTAGTACGTATTTTAAATTACAATATAGCATTTTCTTTCAACAAAAACATTTTGTACTGATTTAATCGCTGATACAGTGAGATGAAAACCCAGCTCAGTTATAAGCTGTCATGTGAAGCCAGCTCCATGACTCAATTCACTGTACATTCAGTTTTTCATTGAATTACACCTCATACGAGATGGCTGTGAACCTCTCATATCTTTCATCTACTGTTCAATTTTAAAATCCTATATAAAGACAACATACTTAAAACAAATAAGAACAAATGCTGTTCTGTTCCATAACATATAAATCACCCACTGGTACTCTATTCACAAAATACCACAGCACACTGCTTAAAAAAACAGAGAATGATTAATCATTTTATAGAACAGCATCTGCAATTACCCCCGACTAGACTATTAATTAAAAGAACAATCAATCACTTGGAGCAAGCTGATCACTAGGCAGGGTCAATAAAATACTGCATAGAACTGCATTTTCAAGGTAGAATAGTTCTGCCAATCTCAATCATCATTTTATTTCAAGACAACTTTTTTGTAATCAAGATCTTAAACATTCTGAAACAACTTGTCAGACTTTTTTTTTAACCATCTAAATAGCTCAGTAGTTACTCAGTGACAGCACTCTCTCCCCTTTAGATTTATTTTACACAACAGTCAGCATCATACTATTTCCAAGACTGTTCTTTCTTTGACAACTTCAACAGGATGTACATTGTAAAAACAGCAACTACAGAACACTGTACAACATCCAGCACACAACAGGTAACACCACATGAAAGACAAACATGTTATCCCCAGAAACTTGAACTTTTTCTTGCAGGATTAATAAATTATTTTCTATTACTTTGATATTGGTACTATGATAATATTCTTCAGAAACTAAGAATGACATAGTTAATAAACATGCATGGAAAGAAACCTATTGTTATTTTAAAAATTAAGAGTTCTTAATTTTTAAATTAAACTCCTGTGATTTTATCTTGATGTTGTGCTACCTGATGCATTTCATGAAGCAACGGTTCCTCATTTTGTGCAATCACATGAGAACAGCAGTTCCCCTTTAAAATAATGCAAATAGAATCTGCATGGCTGTAATAACAAATTAAATAACTTGGAGTTAATCCATTATAAACTAATCAAAACATTCCTTTAAAAAAATGAGTGTTCTAAAAATCCTAAGGAAATCTCAGTATAGCAATACTACAGTCAGAAAACATACATTCAGAAAACAATTTTAACACCATTCTGAAAAACTCAGAATTTGTATCATTAACACCCCAATTCTACAGTCTGATGTTGTTTCCTATTCAATACAAGATGGTGCTATTTCTTTTGAACAATATGCCTAATCTTAATTCTAACAATGCCTGTGAATACTGAAAGGTACAGTGCTGATAAGGTACTTATATATGAGAACAAATAGCATCTTTTTCCCCAGAAATGTCATACAACAAGGTATGCTCTCTTCAGATCTTTGTTAATATGTACTCAAGTGTTTGGTTACATGAGTGTTCTTTCTCTGAAGAAATCTATTTTCTTATACAAACTACTAACTGGACTGTCCTGTAGCAACATCAAGTTTTTAGAGGTAAAAGCTGGATACTGATGTTAATGGAATCTATTCCCAACATGGACATTTTTATGCATGACCTATAAGCAACTTTACAGTAATTAGAAAAAAAAAAAAAAAAAAACAACAAAATGCTCATCTCAACCTCAAAGCTTCCCAAAATGTGAAGCATTTAAAAAGTGGAATTTTCAAAAGCTATTCATGAAAAACACGGACATGAGAGTACACGGGAATACTGATTTATGCATCACTGAGCATGACAGATTAGCTCCTATAGACCACGATGCTCCTGCACTGAAGCGCTCCCACCACCAGAGCCACCCTGACTAGATGAACACCGAGGCTGGCCATCAACTGAAGAAATTCTGATTCCACATTTTCAAAAAAAAAAAAAAAAAAAAAAAAAAAAAAAAAAAAAAAAAAAAAAAAAAAGAAATGGGTAAGGAGAAATTTCTATTTCACAAACTTAGGACAGCTTTGCCAGAGGCTTCCTCTATTCACCCAGTGCAATGCCACTTTAACACATCTGCCTGAGTCACAGCACAGGAAACAAACACGTAAGTCCATAGCCCACACACGCTGTGAGGTACTGAAGAACTAATGGTGATGCAGAACTATTGAAAAACTAATGGTGAAGAAAATTATTAAATGAAACAATATTACATCATGCGGGGCAGGGGGGAAGTCTAGGGACTAACCCTCAGCAATACTTGTTCTTCAGATTTTCAACTGAGAAGCAAAATTATTACTATTATTCCACAACGCTGTGAGAGCAAAACAATGAGAAGTCCTGTGGATTCGATTTAACCAAGGCATGAATGGCAGAATGGAAGAAGCGGGCCACAGCTTGATTTATGCTCATGCTTTATCAAACCACAGCACATAAACCACAGCCAAAGTCTCAACTTTGGAGAGGGACACACAACAATGAAGTTTTCTAGAACATCTTAGAAAACTGCATCATATTTCCTATCCTCCTTCTAAAAACAACTGCACACAAACCTGCAAATGTGACTGCGATCCAACTGGCATTTTGACTGATGACAAAAGTCAGAGGTATTTCCACACATTGTCATTCCAGCCTGGTGCAGACCCAAATTAAGTACTGAACCTTTAAAGTCAATCATAATATTGGCATAACTTGCTCATGAACAACAGCTGAAAAATAATTACTTCCTCATACTTGTCTAGATCACAAAAGCACTAAGAGCATGGAGTGCAGCAATACTTTTAATTAACTCTTGTTAATTCCATGCTGAGAACTTCAGCAGCCTCTCAGAGACATGAAAATTCCAGAAATCTCTACCCCTAATCCAGTAATATTACTCTTAATCTGGGCAGCAACAACGATGTCAGTGTATAGTACACTCGATAACAAAGCATATTTTATGGATGAGGGACTAAGAAGAAATGCTGGTAAGCTACTACAAACTACTGTGACATATAAATAACAACTTACTGCCTATAACTTACTTTATCGACCTCAGAGTCCTGAAAGCAGGACTTGCAGGAGCTGCATGAAAGCTACACACCATACATAACTCCTGCAAAGCAGGAGCTTAGCTGGGTCTTTCTGCTGTTCACAGAATCAACTAGGCTGGGAAAGACGTCTGAGATCGAGATTGAGCCCAGCCTATGATGAACACCACCTTGTCAACTAGACCACGGCACTGAGTGCCACGTCCAGTCCTTAAACACCCCGAAGGATGCTTATTCCACTACCACCCTGAGCATTCCATTCCAATATCTATCACACTTTCTGTAAAGAAATTATTTCTGATGCTCAGCCTGAATCCCCCCTGGTGCGGCTTGAGACTGCGTCCTCCTCCTGTCACTGGTTGCTTGGGTCAAGACACCAACCCCCAGGGCTACCCCCTCTTTTCATGTAGTTGGAGAGAGTGACAAGATCTCCCCTGAGCCTCCTTTTCCCCAAGATAAAACCAACCGAGCTCCCCCAACTACTCCACACAGGACTTGTGGTCCAAATCCTGCATCGTCTCCGTTCCTCTTCTCCCTCAATGTTCTCCTTGAACTGAAGTGCCCAGACGTACACGCAGTCCTTGCGGTTCGCTTCTGTGCTTTCCCAGCTCCCCTGTTTCTCTTCGAGGACGCCCGTAATCCGTTCTATCAGTCCGACTGCCTCGCAGGCCGAGACCCGGCCCGGAGCACGGCCCTCGCAGGCCAAGACCCACCCAGCGGGAAAGGCCGTGGCCCAGAGCATCCCGACCTCACGGCACTACCAGCCCCAACCGTAAGGCTCCGCAGGGAGCCGCCTCACCTCCGCCAAGCCCTGCGGCTCCCGGCCGCCGCCGATCAGCCAGCGCAGCATGGAGAGCGGGCCCGGGAGCCGTGCGGCCCTTCCTGCGGCACCGCGCGCGGCCCGTCCTGCGGCACCGCCGGGCCGGCAGCGCCGAGCGACAGGCTGCTCAATCGAGCTCCGCGCGGACGCCCGCCCGCCGGCGGGCGGGGCCGGGCGCGGCCGGAGCAGTCGATGGCCGAGCGGGTGCGCCGTGAGGGTCGCCCCGGGTGTTCCTGCCGGGCTTCGTGCGGCGGGACGTGAAATACTTACTGGCCTTTACATCGCTGTCTTGCGACGTCAGAGAAGACTTATGCTATTACCTTTTGACATATTACCGTACTGCATACTACCACATTACAATTATGTTATTGCCATTTTATTGTGACGGTCTTCAACTGTTTCTGGAAGTGGAATGAGCAACAAAATATGTTCTAAGTAACAGATTTCTCTTGGCTATGGCTGTTTCCGTCCTCCCTCGCTGAGGTCTTTGACGCTTCTGTCAGGATGAAGTGACAAGTGTGACTGGCTGTCCTGCTCCTCTGCTGCCCTTCAGAGAATCACAGGAGGCCAGGATGAGTCGGGCTGGGAGGGGCCGCAGCCTGTCCTCGGTCCAGCCTCCCTGCTCCAGGGGGTCATCCTAGACCACACGGCACGGGATTGTGTCCAGGCAGCTCTTGAGTATCCCCAGTGAGGGAGACTCCACACCCTCTCTGGGCAGTTTGTTCCAGTGCTCAGTCACTGCACAGTAAAGAAGTTCCTCCTCATGCCCAGGTGGAACTTCCTGGGCATCCACGTCTGCCCATTGCCTCTTGTTCTATTGCTTGGCACCACAGAGAAAAGCCTGGATCCATCTCGTTCACACTCTTTAGACAACAATAGACATTGATGAGGTGATGCATTAGTCTTGGAAGCCTTTTGAGTTTTAGATGAATGTGCAACAAGATCACAAAACCCCTCCCAAAAGGCCACACAAACCCTGTTCTTGAGCAGACACAAGAAACCATGGAGATGTACAGATGTGTCCAACAGGCACTGGCCTGAGCAGCTGAATATACACAGGTCGCTTGCCCTGATGGCTTTTTGCCGACATTTTTTCAGATAACTCCAAACAATGCCTGAGATTTCCCATAGGGAAGGAGATTATGGTGCTTTTCTAAATCACAGGATCATTGAGTGGTTTGGGTTGGAAGGAACCTAAGAAGAATCTAGTTTCATCTTCTCTGCCATGGGCAAGACCTTCTTCCAGTAGACCAGGTTGCTCAAATCCCCATCCAGCCTGGCCTTGAACACTCGCAGGGGTGAGGCATCCACACCACACCTTCTCTGGGCAACCTGTGTCGGTGCCTCACCACCCTCACAGTAAAGAATTCCTTCCTAATATGCAATCTAAATCTACCCTCTTTCAGTTCAAAGGCATTCCCCTCTGGTCCTGTCACTTTGTGCCCTTGTAAAAAGATCCTCTCCATGTTTCTTGTGGGCTCCCTTTAGGAAGTAGAAGGCCACAAGAGGGTGACTCAGAGCTTTCTCTTCTCCAGCCTCAACAATCTCAGTATTTTCAGCCCTTCTTCACAGGAGAGGTATTCCACCCCTCCTGAACATCTGCTACTGACCAGTCTGTGTGTGTAAACCATAGGATGCTAGGATGAAATGATACTGTAGTAACCTAAATTTAACAAATATTTGTGGTGTGTAACCTGAGTTTTGCCATTTGTTAACTGCTGTGAACTCCTTGCAGCTTTGTAACCAACTGAAGTTGATAACAGTCATAAACCAGTCTTAAAGCAATTGTTTAGCAAACAAACTTTAGCAGACTTCTTCTTTTTCATTTCAGTTCAATCATGCTGACTTCCATCTTAGAGATGCAGCTCATGCAGACTAAGGGCACAGCCAGTGGAATTACTTGGTGCATGTAGCTACACCTGCCAGGGTTTCCATGGTAATCAGCAGTTTTGTCATCAGCAATCTGGTCCCTGGCAGTGTCCCTAAATAATCTGGTATATTCTCCAAACTGGCAAGTGTTGAGTCATTTTGTTGCATTTTATTTATTGGAAGGAAGGACTGCACAGCATAATATTACTTGCAGTTGTATAACCTGTATGACCATGTGAGATGAACTGACCACAACCTCCTTCCGCCATCCCCCTGCACATCTGCAGGAGGAAGACAATTTGTGAGTAAAGTTGAGCCCAGAAAGAAGGAAGACATGGAGAGAAGGTGATTTAAAATGTTTTTCCCTTATTTCTCATTATCTTACTTACTGTGATTTGATTGACAAGAAATTAAATTAATTTTTTCCCAAGTCAAGTCTGTTTCCTTTTGATGGTATATTGTGGCTCATGTCTCCGTGTCCTTATCCTGACCCATGAGACTTTTGTCATACTTTCTCTACGCTGTCCAGCTGAGAAGGAGAGTGATAAAGCAGCTTGATGGGCACCTGGCGTCCAGCCAGGGTCAACCCACTGCAGATGGACTTCAGGAGAGTGCTTTTTGTCTCTTTAATTAGAACTGAGTTCAGAATTCTGCTTCTGAGCATCTTTTACTTTAAACTAACAATGCTGTCTGCTTCCAGAATATTCCTCCGTTTTCCATTTCTCTGCCGTAGTATGTTTTATAAATTTCTGTACACTTCTTTTATGAATCCTTCTTGAAATCTTAAAAAACCAGTTTTGTTGTTACTATTTCAAGCATCTAATGTATTGTACACTTCCAGGAAGCAGAAGCAACTTCTGTGTTTCCCGGTGTGGTAGGTACAGTGCTGTGTTTGTTGTGGTGCATAGATAAAGAGTGCAATTGATCACAGCATTGCATTTGCTAGGCCAAGATGCAGTGTTTTCTGCAATTTATCGCTTGTTACTGTCAACCATTGGCAAAGGATTGTGCTCAGGCTCTTAAACTATGCAAAAATGATGGCTGTTGGAGGATAACACTCACTGCAGGAAATGTACAGCACACGTGATTACAAGAGCACACTTTCCACCAGTGTGACATTTCTTATCTCCAGGCCTTAGTATCTGAATAGAAGAATACTTTTTCTTCCCACCTTCTAGCACAATGGCTTCCCTTTTTACTTGCCCCAATAAGATCCTGGCCTCTGCAGTAGTGTCTAGGCATAGAAACTGTCACTAGGTTATCTCTTGCTCTATTAACTAACATTTCCAGTATGTTCACATTATTTTTATATGTCTTAAAAATGGCTGAAGCCTATTACAGTTCCCTCAAGTTACATAGTTCAAACTTTTTGGTAGATTTTTTTCATTGAATAAAGTTTCTAGGAACAGATGAACAATTTACAATCAGTCTTACTGTAAGAATGACTTGGAGAGATTTTTACAAAGGAAGTACTGGAAAATATTATTTTAAAGGTGAGTTCTTTAAATAAGACTGCATACCTTTGAGATATAATTGTGATTCAGTTTCAAAATTCATGCCTAATCCACACAGTATTTTCCTTTATGTCTAATAAATAGATCAGTTGAAAAATGCATGCAAGGATTTCACACCCTGCCAAGATCAAATACAGTCAAAGCACTTTACATATTAAAGAAACAGAGTCAGAAGCAGCCAACAGATGATATTTCAATGGACAGCACATGCTGCAGTCCTCCACAACGTATATATATATATATATATATATATATATATATATATATGTCTTAAAAATCCATGCTGCTGTTCTTTGTATTCGATGGTGGTTAAATTCACCCCCTCAGGAAACAGCGAACTTTGCATTCTGTATCACTCACCCAGGTCAGGTGAGTGATACAGAAGTTCCGACATCTGTTATGCCTACAGAGAAATTATCCGTTTCAATTCTGCACACCCTGTTAGAAGTGCAGCTTGGCCCTGGATGGTGGGGGATAACACAGATAAGTGTCACTTTCTTTTCCCTGGTGCTTAAGGCAATGCTGTCTAACCAGTTCACTTTGTGACTGAAGGTGATTAAAAGTGCTGAGAAAAAATGGACCCCGTGGCTCCTGCCAGTTCAAGGACACTGTTTTAGATATGCAGTGTGCCACCAGAGCACCCTCGTGGCACTCCTTGCAGGATTCAATTCATTTTGTCACATGATCACTTATCTCCCAACTAATCACCTGCATTCAGAGGTTTAGGAGAAGGGTAGGAGATCAACCAGCAATACCACCTGAACACATTGAGTTCCTCCTCTTGGCCTGAATCCTGGTTCCACTAGACCTGGCCTAGGGATATTAGCTTGATTTAGGTGAGCCTGCATCTAAACTCCAGGAACTTATGAGGGACTGGATGTTCAGCCACGGGTGGTACTTAATTTGACTCCATTTATCCTAAGGGGATCTCTGCAGCTCCAGTGATGGTGTTGTGTCTGAGAGAAATGTTGAACCTTGACGAAAGGTTCAACTGCTTCCATCATGAAGTTCTGGAGTTGCTCACAGCCAAATAAATGTAAGGGTTCAGATTCATAGATGAAAATAAACAGTTTTGTATTTTTCTAGATTTTTGTATCTGCAAGAAAAGGCTTTTTTGCCCATTATAGTCAATGGCTTCAGCTACCCTTGAGGCCTCAGTAGAAATTCACATGTTGCCCAGTTATATGGAGTCACCTTTGTATGCTGTCTTTTTTCTCTGTTGATCAAATTACCCATGATGTGGGCAAACACAAGTAACTATGCCCCTAAAGATAGGCATCCTTCATGGTCCCCAGGGACACCCAAGTTCCCAGATCCTTGACTCCAGAGCAGCTCACTAGATGGAAGGAGCAATCAACAGGTATCTGAGTGCTTCAGGGTCTTAGGACTGTGATGCAGCTCATCATACAAGCCGAGTTGTGCAGTGCACCTATCCACCCCTTCATGGAGAATTTCAGCAGACTAGAGAGAAGTGAAGAGGGGTAACACACTGCTCCTGGCAAAGGGAAAACTAAATGATTACTTGATTAAATTCTCAGGAAAATCTCCTTTCTCCCCTTGGCCTTAGATTTAGCATCTAAGTGTGCAAAATATGTGTTATTTTCTCCTGTCTGGTCAGATTCAGAAAAGGTCACCAAAAATGCAGATGAATACTAGTACTGTGGGAATGTATGTACCCCAGCTATGTACTAACAGCCTTCATTTTTATTAAGCTGTAATTTCTGACAAAGATTCTTATCA